ACGCTGAGAGTAGTGAGCGAGGAAGGGGAGCAGAGCTTTTGGAATAACACTTATTATTGCTATGTCAAGTTAGGAATAAAGTCTACAGTTATATATCTGCCTACGAAGATCCTAGATGAAACGCTATGATTAGTAATTCTGCACGGTTCGATTTTGTCACTTCCCTAGAGCAGTTATCTATTTTCAAATAAGGTTAACTGGTAGTTCAATAATATGATGATCTCTGGCGACCATATGAGAAAAGCAATTCTGAAACGATGGGAATAGTCTAGTGTACAACCCCTATTGGGGCGTATGACGCGTGCCTGTAGGGTGCGGTAACGGCATCACCACTGCTGGCAATACAAAGGCATGATAATTCAATCGAAAAATGGTAATGGATTGTGCAATGATGTTCAACCTACAATTAAAGTGTGGTGGCCGTAAGGATAGGCAAATACTGTGAGATTTTGTTGGCCGCTTGGAATGTACCTTGTTTTCTGGTCCACTAAAAGAGAGACAAACGCTCCTTACGGCATTCAAATTGCAAAAGACAAAGGAAGCTCGGTCATATAGAGGAAGTCTTCTGCCTGCAAAGAATACTACAATTTGGGCCTTTTACAAATCCAGACTCGTCAATTTGTGGCGAGAGCAGTGCAACAGGAAGCTTCGGGGGCAAATGAGACGGCAGGAGAGATGGAATCTATCAGTAGACTGGCATGCATAGAAATACAAAGCTTTAGCCTGCAAACAACAACGCAGACAGGCAGCTATCTTACCAATAGTTGATCTAAGATTATCACTGAGTGTCATAGATGGTCGCAGGCTCGGCAGTGACATCACAGAATACGGCTATCAAGAGGCCGAAGAAATATTATTCAAGGCTTCGAACACACATGCGCTCAGCAACTGAGCCATCAGCTAGCACCTGAAGGACCAATTTGAAACGTAGAACTCATGGGTGTCGGAGCTGCGTTATCGGGCTACAGTCTTACGTGGACGAGAAAAGAAAGCCACAGAAAAACCTTGCTTCTCTACGACTCCACACAACGCCGCAGAAACTTCTCTGCTTCCCTTGTAAGTAGTTGGGTCATATAGATTAGGACTGCGAGACCAGGAAAAAGCCATCTAAATGGAACATAGTGGCAGGGCCTGGTGGAAGTAGGCCGCCTGGCACTCAAAGAAGGCACATCCAGATGTTGGTAGGGCCCCATGCAGGCTGTGGCGCAGTGACGGGGGCTACAGAGGAGTGGGCCACCACTGAGCGCCGAGCATGGCTTGGCTGTGCACTACCTAATTTCAGCACTTATGGGTCAAAGTTGCTAGCATTTCTTGCCAGTGGATGTGAAGTGGATCTGCTATAAAAGGAGACAGCGCAGAAGTGTAATCTACCTATTCACCCGTCACCTCAGGCATACTAAAGCGTGGTGGAATGCAGGGTTCAGCACATCGGCGGCAGAGAAGTGTCATTTCAGATTGGAATTGGGCAATATCACCGTGATTGGTGACTTACATGTCAGACCCGCGCTCGATGACGTGATCCTAGGTGTGCCATGTGTGGCCAAAGGGAAAACGTTTATGTAGTCACAGCTACATGCAGCACACATTATGGTGTCAGGAATTGGTTGACGAAAGCGGCCTGCTGTCTCAAATTCAACGCGTATTTCATCTACGGTGAAGAAGGTCGAGCCGGTTCCTCAACAAGGTCAAATACAGTTTCTACGCAAATGACTAAGCAGAGCAGTAAGAGAAGAGCGCTTCAAGCGCGCTGTCCAACTTAGTGGATATGACAGAGGTAATTCATAATTACATCTAGATAGAGTTTTAGCCGCGAAACAACACGAACCTTGTTGGTCTCTCGCAGCGCTGGTCTACACTGAGGAGCTCTTCGCCGATACAGCCCTAGACCTGGTAATCTGGGGTAACCAGCCACTCTTCACAATAAAAACGTTTAGAGAGCTGCTGGTTACGGCGAGCGAATGTATGCACAAAGCTTAAGAGGGACAAGCACGGAGTTATGCAAGGGGGGGTCGGGTTTGTGCTTCAAGCCTGTAAATTTGTTTCTGTTGGGTCAGCAAGCTGTACTTGGTGCATCAGAAAGTTACCCGACAAAGGCACTAGCGATCAGGTGACTCGGACCATCTGCAGTTCTCTCACGCACTGATACTTTTTCCGCTTCCGTGTGCCCCGAAATTGGAGGCACCATGCAACTGTCAATATTGTATCCCCCCAAGTGCTAAATCTGTCCGATCTAGATACGAACGGTGCCGCGCAGCAGGCGACCCGCTTGAGCGCAGCGGACCAACAGAGAGTGGCGTGGTGCTGGACTGTATGGCAATTAATCACGGAGGACACACCAGACTAGACGCTCTAGTGAGCTCGGGTGGGAAGGCCAGCCATATTTGCTGGCGAAGGGCAGTTGCGGACTTGGTTGCAGGTGCGAAGCTGTTCGGGGCTCTGTTTGGTCTTCAATGCTAGCCGGCATGAACGGTGCTTTTCGGTTTTCCTGTTATTCATTCGTCTTCAGCACATGGCCTGCGTGAAATTTTTTCTCCGATAATTACTTGAGCAAGTCCAGGTTATACTTGTCAAAGTGTTCGCTGTACTCAAAACATACGAGCAGCCACTCTCGTTTTCGCATAATCAGGCTTCTGCCTACTAAGGGCCTGGAAATCGAATATGCTGCTTACACTGACTGCATCGATGTGCAGAAATTGCTGTATCAGGCATGGCGCACTGCGGAACTAGTGTGTGTTCTTATGCTCTTCACATTCACAAAACACAATTTACTTGTTTTCTTTTGTCTCTTAGCCGGAGGCTCACACATTTCAGCGCCCCGACGACAGTTGAACATCACGCTGGCACGATCCTCCTCGGTTGGTGATGGCTAGTGTTTGTCTATCTTCTCTGTTATTTCGCTTCAAGGCCAGGTGCCCACTGTGACTGTCTCATTTGCAATGCAAACGCATTCCTGCGCGCCTAGGGAGTGGCGATAGGGCGGAAACTCTCCTGTTACCGTACATGCGTTTGGGTTTGAGGGGCACATTTTGGAATAACGCAGTCGTGTGCTTCAAAATGGAAGGGAAGGTGCACCGGCCGTAGGTACGCTTAGGCACTTTCTAATGCACTGACTATATACCAAAAAAACCGCTTGAAATATTGCCTATTTTGCTGGTCTGTTCATATGGCTCTGAAAAGACAGTGTAGCGCTGGTTATTCATGGCCATGGCAAGACGGAATGGTGTGTGCATGCGTGCAATATGCTTTGCGCAACTACCTGCGGATGCTCTGAGTGTATGCATAATGCAGCCACGTCGCAGCCTAGCTTACCATCTTCCCACCGTTCGGTACTTTAAAAGGTGATGCCTGGGGTAGACGGGAACTCCTTTGAAAACAATTTTTAACTCGGTATCAAGCTTGTATCGAGTCTACAAGGAATGGTCTTCAAAAGGTGACCCTAAATGGAACCTCAAAATACTCTTCCGACTGGGCAGCAAATTCTTCAAATATTTGCCCCCTTTAAAACCTCCATTTGTTTTTTGGTCAGCACAGCCTTCTGAACACATTCATGATAACTTCTTTGGCTGAAAATGGTGGCATCCTACCAGGTACGGTGCTAATGCGTTTGTATTTGCTTATGGTCTGCCTCGGCCTCCCCAATAGGCGTTGTGCCACCACCTACTTCCATCGCCATGAAACATACTCTTCCTGGACTGTTCCCAGAAAAGTCCAGATTATTGGATCACCAGACAACATTATCCAAGCCAGACAACTGTTCAAGGGAAATCTGACATCCCACCGCATCCTCGGCCATTGGATAACTGTGGAGGCACTCCATCGAAACATGCGGTGTTATGCACTTTACTACTGTCTCGAATTTCTGCAAAGAGTCAATTAGCTTCAGATTCAATTTAAACCTTAAGGGAAGTTGGCATACGTTTCCAAAAATTTATACAAGCAATTTAGCAAACATTTTATCCAAGCGCTTCATCCTTCCCCCGCCAAAGACCCCTAGAATTGCCGGCATGAGGAAAAAATATATTTGGTGTGCTTGTAGCTGCACTCTACAAGCTTTTCAAGCAAACGCAGATAGTCGCACATCGTATTTAGCACACAAGCACACAAACCTGCGACTTTCGGTATGCAGCAAGCAATACTCTGCATTGGAAAAGTAACATGAACACAGATTCGTCGATTTGTTACCAATCTGCACTTATATGAAATTCGTTTTGCAGAAAGTGTTCGAGTGTACTTTGTCGCGCTGCATCGGCTCCCTACAAATCCTGTGATAGAGACGTGGGCTGCATTGCGCTAAAGCCTCGCTATTTGAAGGGCTTTTCAATGCTCGGTGCAGTCTATCTGAATGCCGCAAATGAGTTCAACCGTTCTAAAAGCACTAGCTACTATAGGGACTCAAAGAGAGGACCTATTGCCTCTCCTACGTGCATAGAAAAGAGGAAGTTGCATGAAACCCTCTACTTCACCTAGAATAATTGCACTCTACGTAGGAATCATAAAGATTATCCTTACTTTTATAGGCTTAAATGGGTTCCTGGCTTGGTGCTGTTGGTCCGGCTCTGCCCATGCATGTGGATGTTGTCCTTCGCTGCTGTGAAGTCCCACTGAGCGCCGCGGCGAAGAGAATGCTACCAACGCAACTTGCGCCCAGTTTGCAGAAATAGTCACTTGTTTGTATCTCGGGAGCTTATTTGGAATCAAAGACCATCGAATTTCTTGTGGATTTTCCACCGCCACCTTCAACCACAAAGCATCGCTTTGGGGCCTAAGGCAACAGCCACTGTGGCGATCGCCTTCCTACGCTTCTAGACGATGTGTTAATTCCTTAATGCTACATGTATGCCGATTTGTACACACGGAATGGACCTCAAAGCTTGAACTGCCTTTAGGAGTCCTCGTGTTTGTCCCACGCGCGTGCAGCGGCTGCTGCCAGACAGCTGCACCAGCAGGCGCAGTTGCAGCCACTGGAGCTCGAGCATAGGTGGCATTGCCCACTGCTCATAATGCAGCATGCGTGGACAAAGACTGGGCCAGGGGAAGGTTATCGTGCGGTTGCTGCGGTAACGCCTCCGCACGCGGCAGCACATGAGCCAGCTCTTGCAGCACCTGCTACTTTGGTGGAGTTATGCAAGCCAGAGCAGTTTAAACAAGGAACTATGAAAGGGACTCCCGGGCAGGCTCCTCCAGAGATCCTCAAACAGGAGCAGGAGGGGGGAAGCCAGCAGCAGCACCAGCAACATACCGCCGCACCGCTGGTCTTGAAGGGGCGGTTATCTTACACGTTTGCTACTCGGAGTGTCGCAGAGCCACCACTCCAAAAGCAAACAGGAGGACCCATCGAGACTGACAGTGGCGATAGCATCCGCGCGGTTCCTCGTCGCCCTTCTGAGGGTGCTATCTCAACCAGTTCCAACACAGTTATTCAGGAAAGCACCGGCGCTAGAAGGGGCAGGGAAAACAGCGGCAGCACAAGCTGCAGGACTGGCTGCAAAAGTATTGGCGGCGGTGCTTGCGATGTGGGCCCTTCTGTATCATCGCAGCATCACTTAAACCCAGCTGCTGCGTCGCCGGATCGTGCGAATGACGGCGAAACATTCAAAAACGGGAAGAACAACAGATGCGCCAACGAAAGCAGCAGGGGGAACAGCACCAGCAGTGCCAGTAGTAGCAGCGCAGGTTGCGGTGCAAAGAAACCGCAAGTCCCTCCATTATCAGCTCCGGATATTGCTTTGCTACTACGCGACTATGCGTCTTTTGTACAGCGGACGGAACGACAGTTGCAGCGGCTGCAGAGGCAGGTGCAGCAGGAGGAGCTTGATGCTACAGAATACCAGCATGAACAACAACAGAGGCAGCAACGGATGACCGGAGAGAGGTCGTGGAAGCCCTCGGGCGCTTTCGATAAGACTGGCCTCATGCTGCAGCAGCAGAAGCTGCGGCTGGAGGAAGCTCAGCAGCTAAGGCGATCTGTTGCCGAAGGAGTTGTGGTTTGTCAGTCGTTGCATGCGCGCCTTTCCTCCTTGCTGCTGGAATCGCCTTCCACCGATGGTACGGCAGTTGGCACTGATTTACTTTTGGCGAAGCTACGCCGCGATTTTGCCCAGCAGCAACAACAATACTCGCGACTTTTGCGGCTTGTTCAGTCAAATGCTGAGCTGCTACGGGAACCTGCCCGAGCGTTAAAACCTCCCGAGGAAGCAGAAGCAGCTCGAAGCAATAGCACCCGCAGGAGGAGCAGCAGTGGTGGGGCGGCGGGTTGTGAGGTCAGGTGTGTGGATGGCCTCTCGAAGGACGACGTGCCTGCTCGCATCACCTGGCACTGCAACCCTCTAGGTTCCCGATATAGATTATCTGTTTATGGATCACACTTTGAGCACCCACAGAGGCGAAAGAGGACCGCCAGCATCTTGTGGAGCCCAGAGAGGGGTTCTGAGGAGGAGGCGGAGAAGGAGCTTGATGGATGCTTTTCTTCAAGTAGGAACTCAGGAGGCATCTGGCAACATGGGTGTGCACAGGGCCTCCCTCCACTCCTTATTGGGCCCCCCAGTGCCAGGAGTGCCCCAAGACGGTCCCCAGAAAGAGGCCTGTGGGAGGCCGCTGCTTTGGTCGAAGTCCATGAGGATTACGAGAAGCAGCAGATTCTTACTGAGAGGAAAGAGCAGCTGAAACAGCTGCAGCAGGTAGAGCGCTGCGTCACCGCGCTGCGCGAGTTGCAGCTGCACGTAGCAGCCGATGTGGGGAAGAGCACAGAGCTTTTGCATGTAGCGGAGGAGCAGACCGGAGCAGCAGCAGATCATACTGCAGCAGGAGTTGGAGAGTTGGCTTCCGCAGCGCGCGGCAAAAGCCGCTGGTGGGGGGTGCAGGGAGGAGGTGCTGCTGCGCTAGTGGGGGTGAGCGTTGGTGCCATTGCGGGTGGACCCGTGGGCGCGGCTGTGGGAGCCGTTGTTGGTGCTGTTGCCGGCATATCCTCTGGTGCTGCTTTACGGGGAAGGCATAGAGATCGGATAGACGCGGTTGCTAGATCAGCGAGGTGCCAGAGGGTGCAGCGTCTCAAACGTTCGTCAGAAGTTACTAGAATGGGGGTCTCTGCTGGCGGCGTAGCAAGTGCATTCACATCCTCAGGGAACGGTTTGCATGTTCCGGGAATCCAGCCGAGGACAGCTGTATGCTCTAGCAGGCCCCTGTATGACATCAAGAGGACGACAGAGGGCAGTTCCATGCTTGAGACGAGTGGCGCAACGGCAGAAGGCCGCCGCCACATCACGGCAGACTCCGCTAAAAGGAGCACTGCGAGAGGCGCAGACACTGCCCGCCCAACCCACGGGCGTGCGGTCGGGAGCAACGAGAAAGGCGAGGAGCATCAAGATGAGTCCAGAGAGGCTTCCCGCCAAGCAAGTAGCAAGAGGAATTCCGCAAGCAGCCGCAGCAACAGAAGGGGGGACGACGCCCAGCCTGCCTCTTTGAGGGTATCCATCGGTATCCCAGGCCTCCAGCCTGTGATTCCGTTCCATCCCAGGTGATTACAGAACGAGCAAAGGCAGTAGCTGCATTATGTGCTGCTACGGGTTGAATGATCCGCATTGCGAATGTAAAGGGGGCGACTGCGCGCATTTCTGTAGCTTTATGGACTGAACTGCCCAGTACGCAGTCCCATGTCCGTGGCGGTTAGTTATTTGGCCTGAATGGTAGGTTTTTTTTAGTTGCAAGGCCATATGCCTTCGTCGTCGGCGCTCACCGAAACGGTATATTTATACAGCGCTAATCCTAGGTAGCGTATGCACAGTCCCCTAGTTGTGTGGGATAAACAGATCGTGGTGAAACAGGGCCTCCTGCAGTGTAAACTCCGCTTTTTTTTTTGTTGGATGTGTCCGTATCTTTCGCTGTCAATCTGTATATGGGTAATACACCGTTTTGCACGTATTAATAGTATTTGGCGGCGGCAAGCTCCTTTCGCCCCCTCAGCGTAGTATGCGTTGCCCGTAGGGGCGCTGTGCAAGAGTAGGGCGAAAAGCCTTCTATTTCGTATGTATTGTGCGGCTCCGGCTCTTGTTGCTTGATCAACAGGCTAGCTGTATGTCACTTCAGTGATCCACTTGTAGAATCTGAGGGTCGTCCTTTTAGGAGAGCGAATACCAGAGGCTCAAACTGCTTCCGGGGTTTTGCATCTCCTTTGCTGCAATAACATAAGACCCAGCGAAGCCGCTGCGTCCACTCAGCGCCTTGTGGTCGCGTGGGTGTAGGTATCCTTCGAATAGGTGTTTATCCAAATTTTGCTTGACCCTGGCATGTTAACGTCAATGCGCCTTGGCGCTTGTGTGTTCCGAGGCGGCGGATGACTTAATGCCAACGCACTAGGTGGAACACATTCACTAGTTCACCGCTGCATAACGATGAAGCTTAGGCAAAGGCCACATGATGGTGTAGCGCTAATGAACCATATCCCGCGTGTTTACAGGTGTGTAGTCATGCTGGGTCCCACGACTGCGTGGAGGCAATAAGCACAAACAGCCAAACTAGCTGGTTACATGCCGTGGGAATATGCAAGTACGTTTTTTTTCTTCGCCCACCCCACCGTCAAGGAAACTGTGCATTAAAGCATTATACGTTGGTACTCGAAGGGCATTCATCAGTAGTTCAACGAATGACAGGGTACACACATTTGCGAGGTACCGCAGCCACAAAAAGCCGCCGGGAGAAGAGAGGGGCAAAGAAATATGTTATTTTGAGCTCACTGCTCTGCTTGCGGGCCCTGTATGTATTTCTCCCAGTAGCAAGGATACGCAGAAGATGAGCTTTAGTCTGTTTAGACACGAGCACGCCTGTGGGGACTGCCAGTTCCCCCCACCAGCTTGTCGAATAGCAGTACACTTCAACACACCAGTTGCGCGGGGGCATCTGCGTCAGCCACGTTCTGTAGGCATGTGCTAGATCGTTGACAATACCACATACGTTTGGCCCCTGGGGTAAAGCTTTACTTGAACACCTGTGGAAGCAGCCGCCTGTTGACAAGAGCCAAACTGTATGACAAGAGCGCTATAATTCGAAGCTCTGAACAGGGTTTCTTATATTGCCACGGCAACAAATTCTTGGAAATGCCTTGCCCTTATGTAGACTCGTTGGATGCCTCCAGATCCTCGTGGTGCTCATCGAGGTGCATGTTGCTTAATGTTACGTACGCCTAATGAGCTGTGCTTTTCCGCATCAATACTACCCTCTAGTCGGCTTCCATAAGGCGCGAACAGGATCAGTAACCCCACAGCACGTCCTATTGAAGCCCGCGATTATCATCTTTAATCTTCCCCAATGCCTATTCACATGGGTGAGCCGAAGGCGAGTGATTCCGGCAAAGGTAATTGCCTAGTAACATTGTATGCCTGTGTAGTTACTTCTGGCTCACGATGTGTTAAGTTATAGTGGTTTTTGGACCAAGTAGCACGCCAGATTGTTCGGAGCCCTAATATGCTAGGAGAAAGATGGTGCTCGCAGAAAAGGGAGCTCCTTTCAGTCTGCTACATGTGTAGTCTCCTGGGCTGCCATCCCGAGAACATCCATTAGACTGCTGTAGTGCTCATGACATGACCCTGCAGCTGTCGCGGGTTTGACGATCCTTTTCAACTGGTTTCCTAACAAAAGGTAATGGCCCTTGCTGTACTGTCCCAAATTTCCATCACGCAAGAGTTTTAAGGTGGGCTGAGGGCGTTGATATGAAAGCGTGGGAATGGCTCGCGGGCTAGAACTCATATAAGTGCCACGGTAGCTTCGGCCAGTCGTGTCTGCCACAAATCCGGATTAGATCCAACCAATAATCAGTTTAGTTCTCAGAAAATGCCTTAAAGCAAAGAATTCTTGCGTAGTTCGCTTTGTAGATACACTAAGTGGAACAAACACTATATTTAAGCCCCACGCAAGAAACATGTGCTTCCCGTTCCTCCGAACGTATGCTGGCACTTACTATCTCCTTTATAGGCAAAAGGGCTTTTCATTTGGCACCACTATGTAAAAGTTCCCTGCCTACAACGTAAGGAAGAATGATACGGACACCTGTGGACACCTGGTGGCCGTCGTGGAAATTCGTCTTTCCTCTAACGTCCGTGCCAAGCTTGAAAAAGGTGAACCGCCACTGCTGCCCCCTTTGGCCTGCCAAAACACCTGCTAATGGCTTTTTACGGTTCCGTGGGTAGCAGTACACCTGGGGAGCGCATTCCTGGCATAAGATACCGTTCCACGAAGCGCGAATCACAGGTGCTCACATAGGCGCAATGCCAACTCTGCCTCTGCCCTCATTCATCCGCTTCGTCCTTTTCGCAAACTGCTTGACCTCATGCCCATCCCGGGCCTTTTGTGCCTGCGAGTTGTCGCACGAAACCGGAAACCGTAAAGTGTGACATCCAATTGCGCGCAACGATGGAACCAGTAACACCACCATGGTCAATGTGCAGCAGAATTAAGTTATATAGACACTGGTGATAGGCGGGTTGCAGATTTCAGCACTGCCTCACTTGTGGACCATGCTTCTTCTTATACTGGTAATCCGGAATGTACCAAGTATAACGCTGTCCAAAGGCGGTTTTTCGAACAACATCAGGGTCATCTGGGTTTTCCTCGCTGTGGCATCGCAATAAATTGAATGTACAAACACTGATGGTTGCAACATGAGGGTGTGCCAGTGGTGCAACTTGCACCATCGGCCATGTGCGCGCGCTTGCGGCTCTATCGCCGGTTGTTAAGTAGCACAGTTGCGCAAGTTGGGACTCACGCTTCTTCAAGCAAACCCTTTCGAAGGAGTTGGCGCTTAGCCCTTTCCGTAGCCTCAATGTTCTTCAGTTTGTTCCTGCAACCCAACCCACAAAACGGAGCACAAATGCTCAAATTCGGCCGCACGTACTACGTGGCCATGTCTTCCACCGATTAGCTCTAGGCCCTATAAATTTCCAGCATACTCCCGTTAGACACGCATTACTCTGACACCCTGTATGCACTCACTCCATCGGAAGCTCGACCTCGACAAGGCCTGTGACCCAGTTCATCTGATCCTTGTATACCTCTGTTTTGTCAGCTACCTGGGGCCCCCATGCAAACAGCAGAGCAAACAACAAACGCTGAATCAGAGCTTCTCAGTTCATTGAGAACAATGCGAATGAATGCAGCTGCACGCAGCCACTATTTGAAAGGTCTAATCAGTTCGGGTCCTATGCAGACAAGCAACTATGTGAAGCTGGAGCTCATACATTCGTGCAGAAGCCGTCCCCGGTTTACCTTCAAGTGGTCTGGGATGGCGTACAGGTCCCGCATCTTGTCTACCACATCATGCTCCCTTATGGCCCTCTCCTCGCGACTTTCGTGCTCTTTATTTTTCATTCTCTCGCGCAGAAACTCCTCCCTGATTCGGACACGCACATGAAAAACCGTACCAGCGTCAGCCCGGGGCTGCTTCTCTACAAAGTACTATCTTTTTCTTAGCAACAACGGGATGCCAGGCCCCCCCTCTCCCATTCTCTCAGCGTCCTAGATCCTAAAAGCGTTCTCACAAGTGTCGATCTGAGCCAGATCCAGGGCCCCCGGCGGCGAAATTCTTCTCAAGGAGGCCCATAGCGTCTTCTTCCTCCTCATCTTCGTTCTCCTCGGTTACTTCCTCTAGTCCAGCACGAACATCCAAGCCCTTCCGTGGCCCTCCGCGCATGCGTTGCAGATCCTTCATGCTTCTGACCACCTCAAATGTATCATCATCGCTATCCGAGCCTCCGTCCGCAGCATCCTCAGGAGCTGTGGCGGCACCTGTAGACCCTATTGAATCACTCGGTTCTGCTCTCGAAAACTCACTTCCCTGCAGAGTACCTAAGGTAGCATCCGCCTCTTCCAGCTCCTTAAGACGCCTAAGAGAATGAAGAGAACGGGGCCCTAAGCGGAAAAGACCGCGGGCATTGCATGAAGTTTGGTCAGCTGCAGCCATGGGGGTTGAAGAGGTGCCAGATGGTGAAGAAGACGAAGAAGGTGCCTCAGGAGAAGACGTGGCAGAACTGCCCAAAGCAGTGCCAGCACCTCGATTTGCCATGAGAGTAAACGTCACACGAACACCACCAACAACAGACACCGGCGTTATTGTACAATGCCCTAGTTTGAATTCCGAAGGCAACCCTACGGTGCTTCAAAAGTATTTATGGGATGTTACAATTTCTCCGATACCTCATTCTTCAACCGTAACCAGCAACAATGAGCGATTGGCCAAGTGCCAACGCACTTCAACAGAATGCCGGAATCGATGCAGTAAACCGTTCGCCAGAAAGCCCAGGATGCCCATAACAGAGACACAACACTTTAGAGCATTGCCTGTTCCTTATGCAGTCAACTTATGACAGTGTGGAGGGTGCCCTTCAGAGCCATTTCAAGGAACCTAGAGGAACGATTTGCACAGTCCGAAAGGTACATGTTGAACAGATCGTGAGGATATGATTTCGTGGAGATGAATAAGCCTGTTTTCTTGCAATGGCCCGGAGCGCAGAGCCAGGTTGCCATAGTAGGATGGGCAAGGGGGCCCTTGGACTACGCTGAATGGGGCTGCCAGTGGAGGCTGGGGCTGGGACCATTGAGTGACAACCCGGAAGTTTACTCAAGAGAATTCAATCCGTTTTAGGCGTATTGATACAGGTTAGGCAATTGATCTAAGACGCATGAAACCCACCTATATTTTGCCGTATTTGACTTTTGCAACTACCGAGTCGTACGACTTTTTCAAACTGATAATGCACTTCGGACTATCCCAGACCCTTGTAGGGCCACTCAAACACTCTCCGCATCCTCGCAAAACAGCCACACCAGAATAGCATCAAGTGAAGCATGCAAGGCTGAGTGGCCTTCCAGCTCGGATTCTTTGCTCTCGCAGTCTTCCTCATCACTAGGGCCACCGTTGACTTCATTCTGTGAAGGCTGGATGTTCAATAGATTTATGTTGGATTTAAGTGTATTTTTGAGGTTTGTGGGCGCGCATTTAGGTATTCATTACCTGGCAGACCTGCGACAAATGTGCGTAAAGTCTCTTGCTTCGCAGATTACTCGAAGTCTATCTCGTCAGAGTATGGCTTGTGTTGGGGGTTTAAGCCTTGCATTTGTTTCCCTCAATTTTTCTTTAACAGTAGAGTTTAGTCCCGAATTAATCGCCATGTACAGCTACAGCCATTTTGTGAGTTGCAGCATTGCTTGATAACCCTTAGTGCGCATGTAGGTAGACTGCATAGGGTCTATAGTACAATGTATTTTAGATAATTTACTTCAACTTGCGTGTTTTGTACTTAGTCAGCCACACAGGTAATACTAGAGTTGGGTTGCTTCTCGCTTTTGTGGGCTAGAAAGGATATGGTGTTGGAGGCCCCTAGAGGCCCGTGAGAACTCCTGCGCAACTTGAAACTCAACTGTGCTACTTTTAGGTTGTTTGCAGGATCAGGCTGTCGCTACAATATTCAAGTATTATTGACATGTCAAGTGGTGCATGTAGCCGTATACACAAAAGATAATTTTGAGAGGCACGCACAACCTTCTAATAGGTGTTACAAGCGGCCTTTAAACATTTTGCCGTTTTTGCAGAATGCACCCAGTTGCTAATAGAACCCAGCTGGGGAATCGACTGCTAAGGAATACTATCAGCGCGGTCCTAGACAAAAGACCCCGCCGGCATTCATAAGGTATACCCTAGGGAGCGGATTTCTCGTTCAACCTGTCAGGCGATCAGAGCTATCTCTTTCTTCTCCTACCAGTGCTCGTAAATCGGTGTTGTCTAGATGCGTTCTCCACCTTTCTGAGATGTGTTGCTTCCTTTGTTGCTGCTCTCCTCTTCATTTACGTTTGACAGCTCTCTGTAAGTTGCCTGCAAAGCTGACCGCTCATGCTCGAATGGCATATGCTATAGCCATATAATCGCCTCATGAAACAAAACTGTGCTTTTTCTACTCACAGTTGCTTTCGTGTGCTAATGTAGGGTGGGCGTCCTGCAGAGCCGCAGTGAAGTGTGCTTTGAAGCCACTTTCGCATATACCACGTGCTCATGTCCAAAACGGCTTCTCCGAGCCACAGACACCTTGCATTCCAGCACTCATAGTATTTCTTCAATCAAGTAGTGTTCATGCTTTAGGACTGTCTTTTTTATGGGTCCAATCTAGTCGGTACCTTCAAATAGCATCATAGCACTGTTGCATGACCCAAATTGTGATCTGTCAGCTGCACAGCAAATAAATTTGTACTAGTAAATCCAAAGCAAGCTTATGGGAGCCCCAAAACACTCATTCAATGTTTTGCCTAGGTCAAAATATTCCACAGGTACTGCAACATTTCCCAGACCACCAAGCGCAGATTGCCCGAGCATCGACAGCGGTCGCCTTCATCCAGAACGAAATGCTTGCTCAAATGCCTTCATAAGCGAAAGTAAAATCGCTTGAATCATGTTCCGATAGTAGCAGACCAACAAAATCTTGTACTCTCGAAAGAAAAATGGCTAAAATGGGAGTACAGGTGACAAAAATGTTCGTTGTCTGCTCCGTTAGCCAGCGACATATATTCCCTAGCTCGGTACATATCTCTAAGATCGTTGGTGGAAAGCTTGACTGATCAAGGCTGCCTCTCCCTCTAATCGTCGCCAGCAATTGAGCGAAGAGGCTTTAAGCAAGCAGGCGACCAAAGCAAAATATGTACAAGGGTTTTGCTGGTCGCCAATAGAGGTCAGGCGTCCGCCACCCCGTGCTCAGAGACGCTCTAAACGGTCTACTCCAGTGTTTTGGCTTGCTGCCCACTAGAAAAAAGACGGCATAAGTACTAACCTAGTTCAGTGTCCCGGTTTCACACCGGTAAGGTGCAAAGTGCGCCCTGTGTACAAGGAACCGCTATTTACAGCTTATTTTATCGAGTATAATAGACTACTACATGGCAACGGTACAAAAGCTACAGCTATTGATCCATATTACAAGTTAACTCTGCATGCCCAGAAGAGATGACATGCACTCAGGAAAGACCATAAGGGCATTAACCACCATTAATACTCTCTCATGGTATATACATAAACAACGGGCTGAGTAGTCATGCTCTGGGGATACATATATAAAGACATACCGAGCAGTGCGCCACTTTGCATTTTCCAAGAAGTATCTCTCTCTAACATCCCAGTATTCACCCAGATACATATGGATCCAGTGCATACATACCGATGCCTACAACGCAGAGAGCTGCAGAGCAAATATAGGGTTCTGCTCGACGTGGGAATGCCTTTGGCAAACAGCATTTGGTGTGTTAACAATCCTCGCATGCCATGGAGCACGGAACGTGGCGAAAGAGGAGGAACGCCACACACCAGGATCGAGCATGCCATTCAAGCATTCTATAACTTTACCCATATAAATTCAAATTATTGCTGCGCATTGTCACCAGGCACGCGCTTTGCGTGCTCTGATGTCCTCAGAGCTCATAAACTGCAGATGCAAGTATACACTCAGGAGCTTGCCACGAAGCTCAGGGAATGTCGGCAAGCGACGATAGCACCTCAACTTACAACAAGCTCCCAACAAAGCAAAAGCTTAGAAAATGCGCTACAACAGAACATTTCGTAGAAAGCAGGCATATGCAGATCCACCGGACATACGCCGGAATTCCGGGGGCATGGGTCTCGCACCTACATTATCTAGATTTAACCTGAAATATAGCTCTCAAGCCATTTGCAGAAAGGTATGTTGCATTCGCTTCTTAGCATAGTATGGAGACCTCTAGAGTTTTGGCTCTTCAGCTTTTCATCAAAACATCCGACGCCGTACAACCTCTGCCTGCTGGAGCTGCATCCATCCATCTTATAAAATCGCCTGCGTAGGGAGGACTACAACAGCCGTAGCGCTGATCGTTGAAGCAGGAGATCACACTGAGGGAGTATAAAATTCTCTATTGTGTGGACCCGGTAGGGCACATCAGATAAAAAAAGAAAGCAGCATGCTTAGCGTGCTTTGCAAAGAGTACTACAGTGGAGAAGTTGGTAATTAACTGGTGCAGTTAAGGGGAGATTGGAGTCAAAGACGTTCTCGTGGTTTTATGCGAATGGTATAGGATGATCCATGTCCGCTAAAGTCGTTGCTCGCTACGGAATGCCGTGGTGGCTTAGTGCGAGCGCCTATGGCTTCCATCGCATTTCGCCGGCTACCAAATGATGTTGATATTAGCTTATTAAGACTTCCTAAAGCTTTTTCAAACAGGGGAAGGAGTCACAAATATGATGCACTAACTGTCTTTTAGGGAGAGACAGGTCAAGTCAGGTGTCCCTCCAGTAATACTTTTCCATGGAAAAGGCAACATTCAGACACGATAGGCTGCCTCTACATATGAATAGGTATCGTATAGAGCTGATGCACTCTAGCCTCGTGTGCTTCCAGTTTTGCAACAGCATATTTTAAAGTGAAAGCAACTCGCTGTCTCGAAACGCGGTTTGCACGTCGCTCACATTGCATAGTACGCTTAGAGTCGTATGTCTTCCTGAATTCAACGTAGGCCTTTTTGCCTGATGTCATAGAAGCTCTTTCTGTGCAAGAAAACAAAGGCTTTAAGCAGTTCCCCTAGGTTTAGTCGAGACCATTGTGCATCCACTGTGTAAACCTTACACCACACTGGGCTTGAAGGGCATGAGGCCCCTGAGTACATCCATATAATGCCACTTCAAGCCTCCTGCAGCCATTGCTTGTTACGGGTGCCCTCTGAAAGGATATTCTGGAAGCATATTAAACTGTACCAGCTGTGAATTATCAAACGGTAGAGGGCAGATCCATTACCTTTCTATTCTGATAGAGTAGTTGTGCTCAAGCAGGGTGATCGGGAATAGACCCGAGTACGAAGAAACTATACCAAAACCGTGGCGCTTTCTTTTGGTCTTGGGTCTTAAAAAGCCTTGCCTACAATATGTTGAAGTGCCTGTTCGGCAATCACCGTTATTCTGCCGTTCTTGAAGTACTTCTCTCAGTACAGGACTAGTGATACGAAAGCGGAGGATTTTTCATGTCAGAATTCGTGCCACCCACTGCGAGCAAACTAGTACCATATATTATAAATGACGAGGTCTCCTAACCTTTCTACTAATGTTTGCCGTCTAACCCATATGCATGGATGGGTACGGAAATTTATGGCGTTGCGGATACGTTTGGTTAGCCATCGCTGCTGTGCATAACAGCTTCTGCCACTCTCAGTTGACCTCGTGTGTGCCCTACAGACGGCGGTCTCCCATTTGTACACTAGATTCAATAAACTGGCTTAGATCCAGAGATCTCTATGGATGGGCGTGGACAGCCGAGTTTTGCTGGGATGGTGTGGCGACAACGTCGCGGACAAATACATTCTGTATCCGTGTGCTTTCAGTGTGTTCATACGCGTTGACATTATCGTCACGACTTTGTCGTAGCTTCCCCACAAAGAATACACTGACCATAGTTCTAGGGGTTATATGGGTGCAGGTATTTTTTGCAAACTTCGAATTTATGAAGCCCCTAAATGCTCACTTCGTTGAAAGCCTCAATGTGTACCCTGCGCCCCTCAATAAAGATGCGTCTACAGGAAAACTCCTGAGGACGGCCATAGTAAAAAGTACATTAGCAGTACATACCGTAATTGCTGCCTCCTATTCCCCGGATACTGGAATGATCAGCAGAGACATGAGGGCAGATTGGGGCTGTACAGTTGAGGAAAAGGGCTACTACAGAATGCCGGGCTATTCATATTGTGCACTGGCATCTCCACGCTCCTCTATGAATTATTGGAAGGGGCGCAGTGCAGTCTTCTGATTATAATCGTATAGCTTGTGTAAGGGTTCCGTTGTGAGAACCAGTCTCTTCACCATTCAGGAAATCAAAGTGCCCTTTTCAAACCTCGACACAGCGGCTAAATCACAGGGACTTGTACTTTGTTGCTGACCCACATCTCCCCACTGCTGCACATTTTTTCGGACTCATCTTAGCTAGTCAAACGCTGCCTTGGTGGTGGGTCGTAAGGTCGGCTGTGCTGACTGAAGGAAAAGGAAGTTCAGTGTACTGTGCAACGAATGCCCCTAAAGGCAGGTGCAATTCAGGTGTTTTCGTCCGTGCCACTGCAGTTCCTCTACTTGCACCAGGTAACTCCTCATATTAGAAGCGCGCAGCGAGCCATCCAAGGTCGTTTTATATTACACAAGTTCGTGTGCGTGTGCTTTTTTGATTTCTTAGGCGGTGTCCCGTTTTGGTTCATTCCTAGCACATTAATATATAACCCACTTCTAACCACCCTCTCCAGGCTGCGCTATTTTGTCACTACGTATGTTTTACTGGAAAACAGAGTGGCTCCTCCTTGCTGTAAGGTGGCGATGTGCTTGGAAGTTGCCGCACATCGAAACAAGTCCGAGCAAGGTACCCTGAAAGGCGAAAGCAGAAAATAATAATGACAAAGCATCCGAGCCCCAAGCCTGAGATACAAATGATCGTTGGATACAATATGCCTTATTATTTAGCAGTTTCGGGTTTTATTCCGGTTTCCTGTGCAGTCGGAGCCAACGGCCCCGAGTCGACCCGCGGGGAACGGGCACGCACATGGGGCCCCACGTTCTCCCGCCGATTTTCCTTTTCTACGCGAAACTCAGCACATCTAAACTTCCATCCAGGTCAGAGCTGTATATGGGCTTCCCCACGAAGGCAGGGATGGGATTCTTAGGGAGATCAAGCGCTGGGTAGCCGAGTCATCATGAAGTGAGCAGCAACAATTACATCAACAATAACGGAGGAGCCTTCCGAATACCATAGCAGCAGCATCTCAAGCAGTATAATTTTCTTGTTGCCATGCAAAATTCATTTACACTTTGAACAGCTTCGCAGAAGCTCTGAGTGCTTCTCACGCGATCCCAGCAGACCGTTCACCTGAGGTTGCCATGGCACATACACCCCCGCCCTGAGCTTCCTGTGGCCCTGCGGGAATTATCAAGACTTGAGCTCTCGGCAGCTGCCACAAGGCTCGGTGGGGCCCTAGCTAGAGCTCAGCAGTCCCCTGTGAGGGCCCCCGTCGATGCCATGCAGCAGTGGGTACCATGGCGTTTACGAGGCCCCTCAGGGCACGCAGCGGCCTTGTCAGCACATCCTATTCTTGCACGGTTGCCCTGGAATCTGCGCTTGCATGGGGGAATGCGATCTATGGTCTTTCCCTGTGTAGGAAGATGGGAGCTGCGTGCTGATGCTCCTCAGCGCGCCTTGGAGGGCCCCAAGAGGGGCCCATCAGTACGTAACTTAGCAAATCACAGCTTCCATCAGTGTGACGCTCTGCTTTCCACTTTCACATCGTCTGTAAGTGAGAGGGGACCCCTATTTCAGTCGGTTGTTGCCTTTGGGGGCCCGCAACGAGCCCTGCCAGCGTTTTCCCGGTGCTTATTTGTAGAGGCCAATGAAGGGAACTCCAGAGCCTTTTCCCATGAAACCAAGCAGCAGCATCAGAGCTCTGGTGGGGGCCTGTCTAGTGATAGAAGGCCTCTCCACCCCCCGTCAAATTCTTCATCGGGAGCGTCATCAGGAGCAACGGAGGGGTCGTCCTCTACTGTGGAGGGCTTGCAGACTGGGACTTCAGGGCCCCAGGAGGGCCCACGTGTGACACTTTGGGACCTTTTGACGTTTATAAAGGGCGAGAAGTTTCGTATCGGTGGCATTATTTGTGCGCTGCTGCTCAGCAGCGGGGCACAACTCCTCTTACCGTTGGCCGTAGGGCAGCTTGTCGACGCAGTTACGCAGGCACCACCGGTGCAGCTTCAAGAAGACCAGCAGCATCAGGAAGCTCAGAAACGAGATAGCGTGGATCCACACGTGCTGCCGTGCACTGACGATGAAGTATCGCGCCCACGCACCGAGGGCAGCTCGACAGCAACAGTCGACGGCACAAGTGCGACCATGGCAGCGGCAAGAGAGCTGGAAAGCGGTGTAAACGCGTGTCTAGAAACGACAGACACAGCAGCATCTGAGTCCAGGTGGGTGGCGCTCCGAAAGGGCCTGCAGGAGGGCTTTAAGACCCCTTGGGCCCGGTTGGGCTTCTGCTTGTCTTTGGGTGCCATCGGAGCTGCCACCTCCTTCATGCGCCTCTACCTTTTGGAGTCTACGGTAAGAAAGGAGATTTTAGGGGGCTGCATGGCCTTCAAGGGGTGGGGGGACAGGTGGGTGTTCGGGACTCGACCGCCACAAGTAGGGCCAGGTGTACGTACTGTTCGATTAAAAGGGCCTCTTTTGCGCAGGGAAGTGACTATTACTGGGATGCGAACTATTTGTTCGCAGATAGAGCGTCTGGCATGTCCGCTGAGGTCAGGCTTGTTCCGGCGGCTCCTGCAACACCCCACAGAGAACTTTCAGCAACAGCCGCTGGGGGCCCTCGCGAAGTATATGTCACGTGGGTTCGCTAAGCATCTCGATACGCCCTTTGCAGAACCCTTTCTCCCGCACTTTGCTTCCTGCTTTGCTACCGAATGCATTGAACAGGCTCAAAAACAGCTAAGACTTTGGGGCTGTAACGTTGTTTATATTCAGAGGACGTGGTGACGGCCAGTAGGGTCTTGGTCGATGTCTCCTTTGGCCTTCGTTGCGCCCTGACTTCTGTCATTGGTGAGGTCTGACGTAGGAGCTCCTAGCTTCTGCCTGATAATCCTAGATGCTGTAATGAAGGTACATCTTGTCCTGTTGCCTCCTCTGTCCTGCCCTCTCCCGTTTTCTCATATTTTCTGGCCTTGCCTTGGTTTGCTCTCCGGTTGTGTGTTGGGGTCCCCTAGTAGCCGTCTAAGATTTCGTCCTGCTGTAGTCGAGTCTCCTACTGTGTGGTTTGTGTAGTCTTTGATGTGACCCTCGCTGCTTCTAGGTGCACACTGTCGGTCTGCGGCGTCGTTCACTTCTGTACGGTGCAGCTCCCTAAAATGTTGCTTGCTCCTGGCTTTCCATGGTGGCTTCCTCTCTCTGTGGCCCCTTTTCTTTGCTTGGAAATTCTGGGTCGTTTTCTTTGGGGTATGCTGTGTGCGCGTGTTTGCGTGCGTGTTTGCTTGCGTGGCCTCTTCCCCATGCACCTTACTGCTGCTTGCCGTGCAGCCTGCTGCGTTTTGTCCTTGATTCTTATCAAATGATTGTATTCTGCATTTTTTTGCGTACCTCTTAAACAGGAATCGGTCTCTGCTGGATGTCCGCGCCCTTCACCTTCTTGATGTCTCTACTGCTGCCCATAGCTGCTGCAGCCGCTTTACTGCGGCTGTCAGCCAGGCGTGTAGCGGCACTGCAGCAGCAGCACAGTCGGGCACTGCAGGTGGCTCTCCAGCGGGCCACGGGGGCCCTGAGCTCGAGAAAACAGCTCAGGAGCCTCAACGGGGAGGCCCTGGAGATCAAGGCTTTCGATGCTGCGGTATGCGTGCCTGTTAGAGCGTAGCAAATATGCCGCTGCTATTGCTCGTGTGCTGCTGCTGATCGAGGAGTGTGCGTTGTTGTGACCATCGCCGCAGGTTGCTCCACGTGCTCCAGTATCTGTCGATGTCTCTGCTGCCTCATGTGCCACCTGCAGCTCCGGGATGTCTTTGCTGCAGCGCAAAAGAGCGCTGTTGCTGTTGCGTGGCGTTACGCCTTTGTATTTGCTGCGGGCTCCGGTCTCCTCGTACATCTTGTGTATGCCGCATCTTCCCTTGTGGCTCAAGGTCTGTTCATTCCCATGTGTCGTCTCTCTCTGTTGTTGCCTGTGGTTCCTGCCATTTTCGCTGAGGTGGACCGTTGTGCAGGCTGGGAGGGCTTTTTTCTGACCTCTCTACCGTTTCTCACAGTATATCTGGGCTGCTAGTAGTTCTTGCATCCACTACTGCTTCTGCTGCTTCAGGCGTTTTAACTGGAGGCCAAGTTATGTCACTCGCCCTGTACTCGGCAATCGTGGGGTCCTCCCTCCAGGGTTGCGCGACTGCCTGGAGTGATACCTCCCGTGCAGTTGCTGCAACGAACGAAATGCTAGAACTCCTACTTCGGGGCAAGCCCAGTCCTCTTGGCTCCTCCCTGAACTACCAGAAGGAGTTGGATCGCTTCCAGAAGGCTCTGCAGCAGCAGCACCATTCCACATCTGCTGAGGCTGCAGCGAAGCACAGTGGGTTTTCTCTTAAGTTTAAAGATGTATGGCTCTCATATCCAGGAAGGAATGGCCAGTGGGCTTTAAAGGGCCTAAGCTTCTGTATTCCCCCAGGAGCCGCCGTTGCGATTGTCGGTAAGTTGCAAGCCGCGTCGTTCACGCGTTACTCAGGGGGTTCTTTGTGCGTCTCTAAGGGGATATCTCAAAAGGCTTTTAAGAGGGGCCCGTCTTCTGCTGCGAAACCATACTAGCCATTCTCACTTACCTAAACTGCCGCGTGGAAATGGACACACCTGTGGCACAGCGCACAGCAGGTTGCTGCTTCACGGCAGGTCTTGTTAGCTTTGGATTTGATCGATTTCGAGCTGCTGCTGCTACTGTGATGTAGGTCCCAGCGGGAGTGGAAAGAGTTCAGTGGGGGCACTTCTTTTGCGCCTTTATGAACCTCAGAAAGGCAGCATCCTTTTAGGGAACGTCCCAATAAATGCATTTGATGAGCGTTTTATTCGATCACTTGTAAGAAACTAGGTTTTCGATATTTTTTCGAAAATGCTGACTGGAGACTTTAAAGCTTGAAAGTTGCTGAAAAAGATAGACACACGAGAAGCTGAAAATCTGACGAGACTACCACCCTAAATTCTCAGATTTGTCTCAGCTGCTAGTGCATATGCTCATTCGGGTATTGTTGACCAGCTGCTGTTGTATTTAAGGCATGTGCTGCATGCGTATGTGTTTGGGTATGCCTGTAGGTCATACCTGTAGTACAGGATTCGCTCTTGGTATCGGGTGGCTTACTAGAGTCGCATATCCGCTATGGCCAGCTGGCACACCAGGAAATATGTGGGGGTTCGTCTTTTTCCTTTGGCCTTTGGATTTGGGCTGCTTATCTGGGTTTCGTGCTGTCCACTACTCTCTCTGCCTCCTCTGAACTGTGTACAATTTCGTGTAACTTTGGTGGTAATTTATGCGCCAACATAAATGTATGTATACATGTATATATATGTATATATTCGTGCAATATCTTGAATATCCATGAATACAGCTCTTGTGCGTATACGTTCAGTTTTCGTGATTGCTATATTGCGCGTTTTTTAATGTACCCGTGCACGTGTTGTACTCCTAGACACCAAATGTGTATCTGTACGCACCGCAAGCTTTGCTGGGATACGGGTCCATGCGTGCCGTTGCATTTGTTTGACCGAGAGCTGTGCTGTTGCTGGCTTGCGTATCCTGTCCATATAAACTTCGCCACCATCGCAGGCGTTTCCGAAATACGCAGCGTAGAGGCGTTTCCCTGTGCATTGCGTCTGCCCTCTCTGCTTTCAGCGGCAAGCCCTCTACTGCCCCTCACCTTGGCCTGCGACGCCGCTTGTGTCTCCCCCTTTGCTGCTACGTTACCAATGGGGCTCAAGACCCCACTGGATGAACGCGGCACTGTCCTCTCGGGTGTGTATCTCGTACTGCTGAATCCCAGTGGCTCACTAGACTGATTTGCTTGTTAGCTCTATGGGTCTTGAGCGGTTAGGGCGCTGAGCTCTGCGGTTGGCTGCGGTGCTCAGGGGGACAGCGACAGCGCGTCTGCCTCGCGATGGCCCTCTATCGGCTACAGCATGCTCAACAAGCCCCTACAGAGAGTCCGGTTACAGGATGTGACACTGAAAGTGGAGGCTATAAGGTGCCAAGGGTGGTACTGTTGGATGAGGCCACATCATCTTTAGACTCTGACACGGAGCGCCAGGTTTTGCATAACATCAAGGAGGTGCATTATTGATAGTGCTAATTGCATTTCTGCTACTACGCCCACTACCCGTCTCGCGTCGAGCCTCTTTCGGTCTCGTTGCAGTTCCTATTTGATAATTACACGACTTATGCTCCCTGGCCAGTTGCAGTGTGTTCTTGTCCTGCTATGTTGCTTCTACTTGGAATGTCCCTCCACTTGCGTCGTAGAATCTGCGTGGAGAGACATGCCTCTTCGTGTCTCACCGACCTGGAACGCTTGAAGTTGCTGATCATATTATGGTAAGCGTTCTGTCTGCTGCTGATTACTGGTGCTGCCCCTTACTGCCCGCCGGTAGGGACTTAGAACAGGCCTTGGGCACCCCTAGAGGCTCCGGAGAGCGCGCTTCTGGGAGGCATGGCCAAGGTTGCATGCAGAGGAACGAAGGTGTCAATGCAGATAAAGACCGCAGTGGCAGACAGGCTGAGATGGAGGTCCTCTAGTGCAGAGAAAGCTGAATGCGGGAAGAGTATATGGGCTCAAGGACAGCCAGTAGCTGATGTAGAAAAGCCCTGAGGAGAGCACTTGCGTGGAGTGGTTTGTTGCAGGTGTTGGACGCCGGAAGAATAATTCAGTTTGGCGCAAAAGAAGACGTTCTGAAACGCCCTTGCGCACCCTTGCAGTGGTACTCCAAAACACCAGCCCAGCCCCACTTGCAGGGGCCCTTCTTTGTATTTCATTAAGCTAACGTCGCATGGGTGCATCGGTAGCCTGGCTCTTGTGTGCGGTTTTCCATACTCAGGCTCGTCTCCGGTGCGACCCCGAGTGGGCGAGGCTTACGCCCTTGATCCCCCTGGTGCTCTTAAAGTGCACTCTTGAAAGTGTTCATTCCAGAGCACGAATGGGAGGGGGAAGTTGGGCCCTTACTCAACGTGAGGGCCTCCAGTTTTGTGGCTTCTAGCTTTCTTGTTTAGTACTAGCGCTGGTCTCTAAACAACTTGAGACTGAATCAAGTAACATCTTTTTTGCTACAACAAACAGATGCGCGCACTTAGGACTGCAGCAAACAATGGGGGTCCCCATCAGCGTCAGGTGGAAACGCCCCATTCGACAGAAAAAACGTAGGTGGAACCCCGGCACAAAGTGCTCGCATGCAGCGGATGAATAAGGTGGATTTTGGGGGCCCACACGGGAGCTGTAAGCCAAATGGGGGGCAGACCCCTCAGGGGCCCCCTTTACGGGAAAGAACAAAGCGCAGTGACATCCCCTTCCTAAATCGGAGATGTTATACAGATGGTCCCGCGAAAGGCCCCGTTATTAGGGGCCCATATTAGGAGAACAAGGACCCCAGAGACGTAAAAATGGAGGCCCTGGGTAGATTTTAAAGCATCTACAAGGTGTACACGAGATGACACATGAATGCTGAGCAGAGCCTCTCCGATCCACTACGTATCGTTCTCTAGATTACCGAGAAGGCCCGTAACTATGCAAATAATTTGCGCTTCCCAGCCGGTTTCTAGAGTCGAGCCGGGGGATGGCTGTTATGGAAAGGAACCCTTAAGAGCACACTGTAAATGTCTTGGCATAATTGATGGCCTCTTCCTTTTTCTTGTTGGCTATCGTGGCAGTCCAGCCCAGTTCCTTGGACATCAGGGCGCACACCTGCAGAAACACGCATTAAAAGCCATAACACCACTCGGGCATGGTAACGCACGCCTTGGACTGTGCGCCTGTGTATGCAGCAATGCACTGTATCGAGTTGATCGGGGGTTCGTGTGGCCTGCACTGCGCTGTCGTGTCTTGAAAATCTGCCTATTGATTATTTGCCAGAGCACCTGATCTATCGCCCTCAGACCCTGTTGCTGATCCAAGAAAAAGAGAGGTAGCCGTCGTGCAAGGACGTCGCAAACTGACCGCGCCTGCTCGTTTCTGAGAAAGCCACACAAGGGCAGCAAGGGCCTCCCTCACGGCAATTGTGAGACGCGGTATTCCGTGCTTGTTGCGTGTTGATTCAGACTTTTAAACCCGATATTACATGTATAGTGCCGTTCATCAGCATGTATAATGTACGTTAGCAGATGTAGTTGCCACAAACAGTGGTAGTAGTAGTTGTTGTTGTAGAGCTAGGAGTAGTGGTGTTTACACATGCATAAGTGCAAATGAGTGGAGCAACATAGCCACAGACCCTGGTTTACTACGACCCTCTTGGTGCCTGTTTGTGCTTACCGGCAAGCAAAAACAACCTCTGCCTTCAGATACGGGTGGCCCTCTACTAGAGGATCCATGAGGCCCTCCGTCTGAGCTAAAGAGAGGACGTCCCGTGACAGGAAGCCGTAGTGTCTGATTAGGTGGGCTCGTTGCTCGAAAGAGAGAGAAGGGAAGGAAGACGCCAACTCGCTTTCTAGCTTGCCGCTGCTGAACCGACAGTCCTGAGGTACGTAGGCATTCGAAACACATTCCAAGTACGGCATCGAAGACGTTTTCACAAGGCGAGGAAAAAAGAAGCGCGTAGCCTCCAGAGAGCAGCTTAGAACGTCTCTATGCAGGAGAAGGAAATCCGGGAGAAAACAAAAAGCGGCCACTTTGAAGCGCAGGCACCGGAGATCTCAAGAGGCGGAGGAACCGCTTAACAAAAGCTAGGAGAAAACCTCCTAAAGAAGAGACAAAAGTGCCCTGAAAAAACACAGGAGAAGAACCAGCTGCCTTACAGCTGGACTCAGACGGCCAAGGGGATCGACGGCCCCCTGTATTTTCATTCCTTTGGTTCTGCAAGGAGTCGAGGCGGCGACCTTCTCATGGTGAACCAACAGAAGTTTGTCAACAGCGTCCTGTGTACAAAAGGCGCAGAATCGCCACTGGTGGTAACTGGCGTTCCTATAAGATAGAAAGCCAGCAGAAAGGCTTGTGGCGTAGCGCATCAACGAATATCTGGTGGCTTCTACGCAGGCACCAGATGGTGGACGAAAATGTCTTGTGTGGTGTTCTAGGACAAGACACCGACAAAAAAAGTCCCCCCACGGCCCCTCCCCACCCCGAGTCAGCCTAAACACGCATAATTCTACAGGATGATCTGCAAAGATACTTCATGCCGCCTCTGTTCAGGTCCCCGTAAACACACACGTGCACACATACACATGCACACACATCTACGCTGCCCTCGTCAAATCCTGTCGCTCCCTCCCGCGCGCCACAACCTCCGTACTACGTACCTCGGCCATGCGCCTGTACGTTGTCCACTTGCCTCCAACGAGGCTCACGAGGCCAGAGGATTCGTCGACTAGCACTGTGTGGGAACGCACGACTCCAGCAGTGTCTTGGGCGGACGGCGTTTGAGACACTAGGGGCCGATTGCCACACCACACAGACTGGATGTCCGCTCTGCACACCGCAAAAGGGATTTTTCTGGTACACACGCTGAAAACAGTGCTACTGGCCGTGCAGTGCACAGCGGACAGAGAATAAGGACCGAGAACATCAATAAAAGGAATGTTTTTGGTCACACAGCTTCACCAATATCCCATGCCACAACAAAACTCAAAACGCCGACAGATCGCAAGGATTCTCAAAATACCCTGCGCAGGACAATTCCACGGTACCAAGGGCGAGACAGCACATGTACAGACCAAAACCACAGGCACACATACACACACATACACAGACTCGCACATACATACACACATATACATACACATACATATACATACACATACATATACATACACATACATATACATACATACATATACATACACATACATACACACATATACATGCGCATACATATACATACATATGCATACACACACACGCACATACATATACATACACATACAGATACATACACATACATATACATACACATACATATACATACATATACATACACATATACAGACATACCCATACACACACATACACATACATAAGTACACATACCTAAGTACATACACACATACATACACGCACTTACATTCGCAATCGCATTCGTACCCACCCTCACGCATAGAAAATTAACGCAAAGACGAAGCCTATAGGCCTCAAAGTCAAACTAAGGCATCCCAAGAAAAAGACGTACTCCCTGCTAAGGTATTATTTAAACGAACTACACTGTGCACGAGAGACCGACCGCATTTTGTCTGCGTCCACCTTCAAATATGAGGCAATTTCCTCTACCAGGAAATCTACGTCTGCAGCTTTCGCGCGAGGATCCTCAGACTCCACGGCTGGAGCGTCGGTTGTACCCGCGATGGTATGGCCCTCCCAAGGAAGCAGAAATAATACACGACCATCACTCGTCTCCGGCAACAGCAAACCAAAAGGCGTGTGATGCGTATACCAGTGTGGCAACACGATATGTGCACCTACACAGCAGCAAAAAACACCAGCAGACGTCTACATGTGTTCCCTCTGCATGCGCGCCATGCCAATCGCTACAGCGGTAGGTACTACACCCTTGTGCAATCCAGCACCGTTCTCTCTACGCGAAAGCGAGTCCCCATGTTGGCAGACTCCAAAAACAACTTTTGCGCAAACCCTGCCCACATACCAGCCACTACACGGGAACCCCTCCACACCCCCTACTCTAGACGCAAAAGCCTAGCCCGCAAGGCACAAGCAAGATCCCCGTAACAAGTGCCAAACATGCTGCATGCGACACGAAGAGACATACCGGATGCCGGTGTCAAAAGACAGGGTGCATCTGGATGGTCCATTTTCCTCACGATATCCGCTTGAGGCCCTGCAGCACAAAATTGTCGAAGCAGTGCCTGTACCTTATGAACCGCTACACAGGATGTGCCTAGAACAGAAAATAGGAAACACAGCTCCAGAGTCTCCACATGTGCACAAACTTTGTAAGCGATGAGCGCAAGCTCCTGGTGGCTCCCTCTTTGGCCTAGCAACCTGACAGTGGGCCTTTACGGGAAAGCTGCGCTGAAACATCACCAGGGAGGGGGGAGGGGCCTCTAGAGCTTAAAACCACTATTGGGGCGAAAGGAGGCACCTGCACAATTGACAACTACTTTTGCGTAGATGATGAACTCTTCGTTGGCCTCTTTGTCTTCAACCCGGACGCCGATCTACCAACACACCCAACAGGACCAGCCAGCAGGATGCAACGAATTCTCAAGAAAGCTTAAGTGCAAGCGAAGGAGGGAGGGAGAAGAAGGGGAAGCCCCAAGGCGGAGGCTTTTGGAAGGATGGAGCAAAAGGCAAAAACATGGGCTATTATCGCCTTCCTGTGCAGCGCAAGACTATGAATTCGTTGCAGCGGCGTCACCCCTAGCATGAAGCAGACGGGCCGAGGCCCTGTCGAGCAAGAAACACAAAGAGCGAAGGCAAAGCCTGTGATTAGAGCGAGGGTGGAAAGGCCTTTTGCTGACAATCTTTTTGTTTTCATCCTTGATAAACTCCTTGGCCCTGACGTGGTTTGCTGCCGCAGCTTGTTGCATGCCCTCCACGTAGCCGGGGATCGTGGGGGAGAGGGCAAGGGAGAGACAGAGGCGGCTGTCATTCATCTGCCCATCAAAATACAAGAGAGAACCCTTCAAACCTCGAGCAGGAAGCACTGGCATCGAAAAGGCCGAGGTGCCAGCAGGGAGGTACGAGGTGGGGGGCACCTCTGAGAGACACACAGCCACCCACGAATCACCGAGCTGCGTAGTGTGTGTGTGCATGTGTGTGTGTGTGTATGTGTGTGTATGTGTAGGACGAGAGGCACGTGTGAAGAGTGTCGCCTCTTCGCTTGCTGAACACACGGAAGAATATATACGGAAAGCGTTGGATGTGGAGGTGGCGAGAGACAAAGAGGCACAGAAGGCCGCAGGAGTAGTACCAAGAGCTCAATATAACTACTAGAGACACACACATGAGGTTCAATATATATATATATATGTATATATATGCACGCAAGGAGGGGTCACCATCACACGGGGGAGAGAAGCGCAAGGGTGCGTACACATGTACACACACATAACGAAGGGGCCGCCAGCACAGTATTTTAGAGAGAATAGTGAACAAGCTTTAAAAGGCGGTATTGAAAACATCATTTTGAAAATGGAACAACGAATGGCGGGAATACGGCTGGATGATGGTGCATATATCAACGGATCATCGATCGCATCAAGTGACGCTGCGAAGAGCGGCTCGTTGATGTATGCATCCTCACCGGTATCCCCGCAACAGACAAGGTTGGCAATGAAACCATACGCCTTGACGCCTAACCAGAAATACGGGATCTGCCAGAGTTTGTAGATAGGCATCAGAATCGCCAGGGGCTGCGCAATATGCGGAGCTGCCTGTAAAATGTGTGCCCTCTCTTCTAATGCTTCGCACACCAGTGAGAGCCTGAGATTGAGAGAAACAGATGCAAGGAAAGGCGCACAAAAGCAGTACGAGCCAGAGGCAAAGAGAGGTTCTTAGAGACTGAACAACGCATGGGCAGGCACCGAGTAAAATCGGAAAGGTTTTCATAGAGAGAAGAGCCATTAATACAGCGAGGATGAGCATCCACAGTGAGAGAGAGGCACGCAGAAAGTATGTATTAGAACGACAGACACGTGAAGGGTAACGCACAGGACCTGAGATACATAAAATAACTGGGGACCCATGGACAACTAAAAGCAGCTATCCTTTTAGGTGCCCTTCTCCCCGCAGAAACCAGAAAACCGCTGAGAAAAAAGTCGTGACATCTTTGTGATTTAGCCGAAAGATGACATTGTATACAGAACCAAGAGAAAGTTTCTGTCGCCCTCACTGTGCAAAGTCCAACTCCTCGAAAGCTTTCTGGAGGTAGCGGATGCCCCCATGTATGAGTTTGGTGCTCTTGGCCGAAGTTCCAGATGAAAAGTCATTCTGTTCTATTAGACAGCACTTCAGGCCCCTAGCGCTGGCATCGAATACCACTCCAGCACCTGCAAATACACCCAGAGGTACAGGGGAGACACAGGGGTGCTACGGCATCTCCGTCATACAAGTTCAAAATAAGTGGGCCTGCAGGCGGTAAAAATAAGCGCCAGAGATGCACACGCATCTGCAGCAGAAAGCGATGAGCAAGAGTCGCACAGCTGCCAGAGAAGTCTACATGATGCATGGAGATACGTTGCACAGAAGGCAGGAGCCTCGTGAGCGTTTCCGCTAGAGCCGAGGATAAGTATGCAGAGCAAGTTGGTAAAAAGGTTGGTTCACATTGAGAAACATGCAGAATTTTTGGTGTCCACACAAGACATGTATGCACGCGCCGCCGCGAAGGCAGATTTCTGCTAAACACGGACAGAAACACCTCCTTCACACGGTAGCACCCAGAGAGAGACACCACGGCAACAGAGGCAACAACAGTCTACCCGTAGCTCCGCCTCCAATCACGAGTACATCAAATCTGTCTTGCTTCATTTTGGCGATCATTTCCTCTCGAGATGGTGGCAGATAAGGGGCTTTGCGGGGGCCCGCCAGGGCCCCCGATGCCCCTGAGGGCCCTGTAGGAGTAACATAGTACTTTGTGCCCTCGGGGACTTTTCCCTTATTGTGCCGACGCCAGAGGAAGGCCCCTCCTAGAGCTGTAGAGGCCCCCACAGCCAGCGACGAATACGCGAGACGCCTGGCGAATACGCCCATGATGTACGATTCCCAGTCCAAGATGTAGGATTTAGGGGCTAGAGGTTGGGTGCTGGAGAGCAGGTTTTGTTGGCGGCTCTAAGATCTGCGGTGACAACCTGGAGGGGAGTGCTGGTGCTGGTGCTGTTGCTGATACGCATTGAGCCAAGTACCGGAGAATACTTTGGCCAATTATTTAGCACAGACTTTCTCTAAAACAATGGAGGCATAAGGTGTTTGGTTTGGCCTCTGGATGTAAAACCCAAGAGAATCGAAATAAGAAGTGCCGGGTGGAAATTGGGGCCCCCATGACTCGTCGGCTGCAGCTTGCAGTGTGCAGCCAGAGCAGCAGCAACAACAGCAGCAGCAGCACCACCATGATGTATCTTTCCTCCGGAGAGTCATTTGCTTTGCCTCAGTAGTAATAAGCAATGAAAAGCTCAAATATTGAGTTGAAGGCACCACCTCTAAAAGAATGTTCTGCGAGTTTCTCTGTCCTCAGCATGGTGCCATCCATCACCTGCCTAATTGTATCGTTTTAGCTGTAGCCGCCGTAGTCCACAATTCGTGAAATAGTAAAAATCAAACGCAACCGTAGCAAAATTAGAGGTGGGTAACACTTCCAAAGTGGACTGCATAAAACACCCTACTATATGCAAGCTCCTGCAATGTCGGTGTGCTCGAGACATACATTTTGCACGAACGGTTCTATCACAGGAAGCTGACTACCACTAGCCATGATGTTTTTGATGGCTAGCTACCTCGCTTTTGAACCGCCCGCACCGGTGAGGTGAAAAGCTTGAAACTGTGCCTTCAGCCAAACATTACGCATTTTGAGGCCCATAAAATTAACGCGAGTTGCATTCCCAAATATGCAACCTGCTAGCACTGTGTTGCATTTGCCTTTAGAGATAGGCGTCAAACCCTATCAGATACTGAGTTTACCTTTAATAATTCCCATGGTGCCCGCCTATACACGGAGAGGATATAAATCAGATCCTACGATTGCAGTGTTCGAGTTTGTGACTGAACGCTAACCTAAAGGAACACTATTTCTCTTTCGCCTATAAGCGAGCAATTAACTTCAGTACGCCGCTTGTTGCTTCGTTTCGTAGCATTAAAGAGGCAGGAGGCCACGAAGTTCGGGGGATTGCCCCAAAAACCGAAGACTTGGCTCAAAAGCAAGAATCCTGTTCGGGTTTGGTGGGGATTCCCTTGCTCATGCACCATTTTAGCAGTTCCATTGTCCATGTATCTGGATGTGGCTGACTCATGTAAATCCTCACTAAGAGGTCTTCAAGGAGAAGAACTTGACCATTAGAAGTACCGCGCACACTAAACTCGAGCAGCAGCATCAAAGAATAGCACATCGGCTGAACGCAAGGAGCGTAAGCCAGCCCGAGCCAGACACATTCATATGCCTCAGTCTTGCTGTGCAAGGGGTTTTAACAGGTGCTGCTCTATGCGAAACTGCAAATGATGAGCATTAGCCAGCTGCCCGTGGGCACAAGCCTTATATGTGGAGGCGCTGCCGCGAATGCAGGGGGCACAGCAAGACTTCAGCACTTTTATGGCATTAATTAAGTCCTTGCTTGCATTGGTTGACTATGACTCTGTTTTGGTCTCCTTATATCTTGTCCACAGCAGAGCAGAGTAAACTCTGAACAAATTGAACTTTCGGTCTGTGTGCATGCGCACTGCGTGCTGAAGAGTTTAGCTTCGAATGATCAGAGCGCTTAAAGAGCCCATCAGCTTGCACTTTAGCTGTCTCATCCCCCTGAGGGGTGAGGGCAGGGCAAGGGAGGAACTCTGTAACTTCCCAGCAGGTTTTCTAGAGATAAATGACAATCTACGGAGAGCTTAGATGAGCACTCCAGCCAAGCTGCGTTGGGCTCCACAGAGCCAGCATTTGTCTCGTGTTGCCCTCGGGGGAAAATTGTACCTTCAAGCTGGGCTTCCACACTCTGGGGAAATCCTCGTATGCCTCGGCTCTAGTATTACTACTTGAGCAGTGTTCTCGATTTCTCTCCCACCAGGAACTAGGGTGTGGAGTTGTTGTATCGGAACATGTTGCTAAATGGCCCTTCCAGATGCTATGCAATTCAGTTGTGCTTCTGAGACTGGTGTACCTTTAGCAGTTTTCCAAGAGCTCTTAGAACATCTACAGAGCAACATTTAACGAACGCGAATAGCGTTGCGCTTGCTGGCTGAAAATGCAATTGAAGTTATAAACAAGTACGCAGCTGCTTGATATGCAGCACTGATGGATTTCTGCTGCTTATGATGCAGCGGACTGCTGATCCTAACAGCGATTCGATGCTGCGGAAGGATCTAAACGGTAGGGCCAAGCGCAACTGGAGCAGCACATGCTCGCCGCGTTTCTCGCTTAGCGCATCTGTTGCTGCTGTTTCCACACGAATTTGCTTCTGCGTTTGGCACGCAGTGCTGCAGCCGCTGTTGCTACAATTAGAGTAGCTGCTGCTGAACGGGCAAACCTGTTTTTGCTGCTGCGCCTTTACGGCCGGTTGCGAAAAAGACTTTTGTACACAGAGCATGTGCTGTCCCTCAAATGATGCAAACACAGCGGCAATGCGGTCAGCCACTGCATTGCTACCGCTTCCCCCGCACTGGAAACTTCTGGCACTGAGAAATAAAGAGGCAGTGCGCAGGGGCTTGCGAAATGAGAGTGCACGTCTTTTGATCGGTCACTGCTGTCGCCAGAGCGCTGTAAAAACTGCGCTATCAAAGCCCAGTGGCTTTACTGCAGGGGATGCTGCAGGTAGGAGAACAAACGGAGTGCTGTTGCTGGACCTGCTACGAGTGCATGGTAGCATTTCGTACTGCTGCTGCGGCACTTGCCGCTTTTTAATAACTCTGAGGAGTAATACTGCTTCTGCCTCATGAGCAGCAACACCAAGAAAACTGTGTCACAGGTGTGGAATTCGCATCACTTCGCTTTGGTGTTGCTCTCCAAGGTGACATTGAGAGCGCTCAGCTGCATGGGTGATGCTGCTGCCGTTGAAAATAGAAATTGGCCGAAGATTTAGTCCCTGTATTTCTGAACAAACTCTAGATAAAATTTTCCAAACTTTTCTGTCATATCTGCCAGCAGTGCCTCATCTGGGAGGATGCAGATCCTGACATGGAAGGTTCCCTCCTTCTGCCCAAAGCCGCTTCCAGCAACCCCTACAATACCTGTTGCCTTGAGCAGCTCGAGACAGAAGAACAGGTCTGGAGCCAAACCCTCCAAGGCTGCTGCCTCCTGGGCCTCTGGAAGGAAACACAATACAGAAAAAGCAAGCGATTGGTGCAACACGCTCTATGCAGAGGGGAAGCAAGCAGATAACTTTATGCAGAGAGATATTCAACAAGGGGCAACGAAGTTAGATCCGACAACCAAACCCCTGAACAGAAGCATCACGAGCCATAAATCCAAACAAACAAGGCTCTATACACCCGTCGCCCTTCTCCCCATCTCCCTGAGCTGACTTTTCGGGATATCTATTCGAGGAAATCCAAAGACGCTGCCTTCAATCCTTTGACAGGTGATTCCAGGGACGGCATTGAGGTGCTTGTACACCATATCCGCCTTCCTCCTGATAGTGGAATAAATTGTTTTTTTCTCGCGCACGTAGTTCTCGTAGGAAGGTTCTCCAGGCCTTGGAGGATTGCAAAGATTGCACATCATGAGTTGACCAAGGAGGTTAGAACACAGCGACATAGAAGACAGCTTATAGAGCTGCTGCTTCACCTCTTCGCCGATGTTTTCTATAAGCATACAGCCCCCCCGAAAACCACACTCTCCAACAAGGCCCTTGCTGCTGCTGTGGAAGGAAAAAATTGTCACATCCACGTTGAGCCTCAGTGCCACCTGAGGACAGCAAGAATAAGGAACGCCTGTAGTTGCGCGCATTTGCACTACACGGCAAAAGATGGGTGGAAGAGAAAGAGTCCCATGAGTGCATTAGTATCATGATGACAAATACAGCACATAGATCAGTAATCAGACACAAAAGAGCTCTAATGGCAGGTCTCGATGCCTTCCAGCATGCATGGAGCAGCAGAATAATGTGTACGCATGTACGTGCACTTACGTTTGGCTAAACGAATGTATATGTGTATGCGTATAGCTTGATAGAAGATAGTACAAGACGGAATGTTGATGTATGTTTGGGCATATACAGATATATATAATATATATACACAAGCATGTTGTATAGGGGTGCAAAGACGGATTCAAATGCGCATATACCTGCAGAGCTGCGTACATGCGAGTGCGTCAAAGCATGCGAGAAAAATGTTTGTACATATAGGTATGCATGATGGCGCCTGCTCACGTACGGCTATACAAACATACAAAGACACAGAAGCAAGGGTTCATGCACCCGCTGCTGCTGGCACTCCTAGCGATTTGCACGGCGAAAATACAGCCTTAGCATACCTTTCGCAACGAGACAAAGGGCGTATTCCCATACACGTTTTCTTGGTAGACCTCATCTGCCAGCAGCACAAGGCCCTCCCTGTGGCAGAACTGCACGACCTGTGTAAAAAGCATCACAGTTGAATGCGTCAGCTGAAGCATTTAGACGCACATATGCACATGTGGAGCTGTGTTTCTTCGCGTATGGCATGTGGGAGGTACAATTACAACCGTGGTATCTGCATACCTCTTGGAGTTGCTCTTCCTTGATTAGCTGGCCAGTGGGATTTCCAGGATTTATCACGACTAGGCCCCTAACGTGTGTGCCTTCAGCCCGTGCAGCTGCAAGGGCCCTTTCCATCTCCGCTACGCTAAGAGACCACCCTGTGTCTTCCTGTAGTACAACCAACGGGAAAAGCAGTAGGCGAGGCGAGTGCAATTTGACGTATGCAGAAGGCAACAAAATGCAAGGCAGAGTGGGGGCCGCGGTGGTACTGAGGAGGGCGAAGTAGGGAGGACGATAGGCGGAATTTGCCATCGGAAGGAAATCGCGGGAGCAGGCAATGTGAGATGTGCAGCATCAGCAAGGGCTTGGAAAAAGAGGGGGGATAAAAAAACTGGCCGTTAGTTGCGCAATAGCACTGCGGCATGTGTGTCTCACGTCTAAGTAATAGCCGACTCCTCGCGCTCCAATCCTTGTCAGGAGCCCTCCGTAGAGTGGATATTGCGGTATTGGAATGAGGAGGCCATCCTCAGGTCCCCTGTACAAGACCTCTACCAGACGAGCGACGCCAGCAGAGGCCCCTGAATAGGCAAGCGAGACGCGAGTAGAAGGGTTTGAAAGCGAGATGATAAGAAGGAGGACGCAGAGGCAGACAGAAGCAGACAGGCGTTCAAGCCAAGGAGTTTTTCGCGGCTGGAGGGTAGTAGTAGCCGGGGGGATAGGGGGTGGGCCATGGAGTCCACAGGCACATAAAAGCACCCGTATGAAGCGATTTTGGCAGAGGGATGAGGCATGTGAGCCATAGCAAACCAGCAATACGTCTTCCTTGCATACCATCTGTTAGAAAGATACCATCAGGATTCGCCGGGAACCCGTCCCGTTCCGTAAACCACTGTGCGATCTTTTGTCGTAGCTCTAGAACCCCCTGAGAGTGCGAGTAAGCCCCCAGAGAGCCAACAGCTGCAAGGTATTCCTTCGCCTTGCAGATGACATCTTCGGGAAAAGGAACCTTGAACTCTTTGGGGCAGAAATTGAGGGCCGAGTCATTCTGCTCATGTTCCTGAGGCACCTTGGAGTCTTCAAAGAGGCCGTTTGGAGCATCTAGCGTGCGCTTGTCTAATGACGGTGTGCGGGCGACAGCGTTGGAATGGAGGGAAAGCCCCATAAGCGGGGGGTACATGACGCATGCCACAACCTGCAGTGTACGCCACACTGGCAAAGCCCTTGGCATGCAGGAGGATGGGAAATGTTGAAAGAAGGCGCTCCTCTCTAGGCCTCCCATTGAGGACTCAGCGGTTAAGGCTGGTGGCACTGCTATGGATACGTGAGTTTCGAGCACCGCAAAGAAGCACAGTCCATGAGCCTGTCTTTCTATAGCACTTCGATGCTGGATCGCCCTCCCCTTGCTGCAGTTCTTCAAGAGGCGCTACTCTCCCTTGAAGAACGGGCCCTCTAGAGGCTTCGAAGTCTGAAACTGATGCTCACCTCCCTGAAGAAAGATATGGGTGGCTGACCAAGCGCTTGTGGATCTCCTATGTTTACGTAGATGAGGCGCTTAAAAGGCAATGTCGTGTCTCCCGCGGCAAGGCGTTCCGCCAGCTCCCTGGCCAGCGCCACGGTGGGACCCCGCACAGCATACTACAAGCAATCACACAGACCAAAATCTAAGAGACCGATTCCACAGATAATAAAAGATTGATGCATTCCCTCTACAACCCGCAAGTGCCGCCGAACGAACGGTGCGTGCCCCCATGATGCACAAAGAAAGTGGCTACAGCGAATGCGTGTAGCTTGGTGTACGCAGGTACCTGGCATTCAATAACGCGTTTAGGTAGCTCAGCAAGCGTTAAGGTTGGTCTGCGGGTGTATGTGCGATAGGCGACTTCTGTCCTCCCTTCTAGTGTGCTTGCTGCATCTGCCACAGTTGACTTCGCCTTTGATGTTACTTTTTCTACCACTGTTTGTTTTGTTGCTGCTGCATCCTCCTCTTCAGTCGGTGGAGACTTCCGACGCCCAAACAGTGAAAAGAGCCGCAAGCCGCCAGGGGCTCTTTGAATGTCCCTTTCATCCTTTTCCTGATGTCCACTCATCTGACTCATCGCCATTCTCAAACTCGATATTACAGATTCAAGACCAACTTTTTTCCCACGCTATACTTGTGACCAATGTACTTTAACTCTGTGATGTGTCGCTTCCCGACTTCGGGAGAACGTCCGATTGACCACCGCCAAACCCGATGCTGGCTATGCGGCAGATGTCTAGCCCTGAGGGTGAAAAATAAGCTCTTATTCTGAGGCTCTCTATGTAATAACACTGGAAGAATGAAGGAATGTGGGCAAAATGGTGGGGGGCTGTTGCCAGGACGCGTCTGCGGAGCCGCCTTTGGCAGCCGGTCTGTGCCGCTGGAGCTGCAGAAGAAAGAGCTGTGCTGAGCAGACCCTAACCCCCCAAAAGTAATCCCTATCGCCTTCATGGCTACTAAATATAACAATGATATACCCCGTAATATTTCCATACTAGAGTCCTATGGCATTATCCTTCTATGTTTTCGCTGCTGGCATTAGGCAAACATAGGGTGCCTCTTGGATGTCATGGACCGAGCACGCACAAGTTTCTGAACCATCCTGGAAATCAACCATCAAAACTTGCAGGAAAGCTTCCTTAGCTTACACATCTAACTCTAATGTTCGTGGTGTTCCGCTGTTCGCCATCAACCCCACACGCGTGTGTCGCAGTGCTTGTCCACCAGGCGGGGAGGGAGATTCACTTCATGCGCACGACTCCACTTTGCATTCCTCTCTTCTTTGCCAATGCATGTGGTGTGTATAGATAATGCTGTTTCTCGCTGCAATTTTTCTGTAGCCCTACCACAGGAGCCGTTGCGCCAATCTGTTTCGGGGGCTGGGGCGATGTATCGCTTCGAAGGAGATCTTCGTAAAGAGGCACTTTTTCTAGACTACATGAACACTGAGAAAATTGTACTGGTCGTTCTTCGAAAACAGCTCTTCAGCTTCCTGTCCTCGCCATATATGGCTCCGACAGGAGGGGAGAGGTTCAAGTAGTGTGCGCATAGCTGCACCCTTAAAGAAATCCGAGCGCTCCCAGCTACTTGCATATAGCATCTAACGCAGGCACACACAACACTACATCTTTTTGTATCCAGCTGGCAGTTCTTCACAATACAAAAAGCATACAAACAGACAAAACCGCCATTCTTTTTCATAGCAATTCTTGATTAAATATGTGGAGTGTCATTACAACTGCCTGGATATAGCTTAGCCCCACTACATCTCTTCCCCACTTGTGAATGCATGCCATCGTGTTCCTCTGTCGGATGTTGGGGTCAAATACCCCCAGAGTTGCTTAAGCTATTCCGCTGTATCGCGCCTTCCCAAGCACGCGCAAATGTTAAAACAGTCCAGGCGACAAAAACAAAGCCCGCCTCCTGTTGTAAAGAGAAGTAAAGGGGAAGAAATTCACGCATGCTCCCTACCAACAAATGAGATGCCAAACTATCGCGATTGCGGTGGGGCAATGGCTCTCTGTCGTTGAAGCGCTGAAATGGATGACCCTCCTGCTATATGATATTGGGAGACAAGCAACATTTATGGAGAATAAAAATGTACACTAGTTCAGCATTACCATTATGCCTCATAGATCATATTCTGCGTTTCAGAACTGCGGACGCAAGTAGCTGATTAAATTTTAAAAAGCCCTTTAAATGCCAGCAGGTACAGGCAATCTAACTGAGCGTACCTACGCATAAATCTGGGTGCATAGAGCATCTTTACACTGTTATTATGCACTTGGATTAGCAAAAAGGTTAGCCATAGTGGGTAGCCAACAGAGGCTCTATCTTCCGCAGCCTCCCTTCACTTTGCTGCAGCCTAATTGGGAGGCTTACTGCTCCGCTGATGTGCCACTTTGAAAACCAACCAGCCTGTTTTCGCTCAACTCAACAACCTTGAATAAGTTTTCTAACTTTGGGCTGCGCTTGCAGTTCCGAACTAAAGGGTGTCCATTCTCACAATTCACGCAGCTGCGGTATTAGTGGGCTGTTAGGGGTTGCCTGGAAACCCTGGTTTGCTACCGCTGTCAATTTGCGCCCAGCGTAGCGAGTAGGCTAGAGCTGGTTGACTCAGCCACAACAATGATAGATTATAACTCTCGAACTGGCACTTTTTTTGGCAAAGACGCGGGGTTACACTCATTTCCTTTCAAAAGCTCGAGGTTCATCGCATGTTGAGATTCCACTTGGCAGTTGCTTAGTCGCTGGATTTGTTGCCTCACCCTATGCCCACGTAACGTGACACTTCGAGTAGACTCTGAATAAACTACTGATGCACTAGCTGTTAATACGCAATGTCGCTTTGAGAATAAAAGTGGCCTATTTCGAACTATGGCAAGCTGCTGCTACCTCTTTCGGCTCAACTTTTTTTTTCAATTCTTCCAAAGCTTGGTGCACAGCTAAAGCCGCTATAGAGCGTTGATTCATAGCCTATATTGAGGCTTGTACTCTAGTCTCTGCACGCAGACGACTTTCTGTATATGAATAACGCCATCTTTGAGCTGCCTCTCCTCATAATAACGCCTCCCAAGGAGGACTTGTTGCTGTTGATATTGGGGTTTCCATACCAGATAGAATTTTAGTTAATTGACTAATAAATTGCCTGTCAAATCATGCCTTTCTACAAAACATGGAGCTTGTGCTCTAGCGCCAGCTTTAAGGTCGTCTTCCCTCGTCTCAACAGGCGCTGTGGCACCGTCTAGTTCCATCGCTAAATGGATGTTTGAGACTGTTAACCAAGAAAGTCGAGTCCCCATAAAAAACATGGCATCCCACTGCATCGGCAGCCAGCGGATTAGCAGGGACCAGCTGCATTAGGCCATATACATGCAGTGCCGCTGCGGCAGCGTCCCACTTGATTTGTACATAGAAAGGTATTTACATTCAGACATATTCCAAGCTGGAAAAAGCATTATTAAGTGTTGTTCCAATAGACTGTTCTGCTCGCCCGTTCGGTGCCACTCATGTTTTTGATACTGGGAGAAGAGACAGCCGAGCGACCGATAATGCACCTGGTAGGCACTCCGAGCTTCATGACCAATGCACACATCTAGCACACATCCGCCCAACATTAATTTTTGCTGTTTCGCGCAAACGCTACCCTTCAGTTCATAAAATTTCCGAGCAGAAGAAGCAACTAGACAATTCGTCACCAATTTTTAATTGGATATAGCTAGTGTGGTAGAAAAACCCCAAGGGTAGCTAAATCTCTACAAATGTGTTGTGGTTTTTCCTCCGGACGGCCACTGTCAGGAGGATGAGTATCTGGGGATTGAAGGGTTCACAAGGTTGAGGCGTGAATGATTTAGGCGGCGAGTGCACTACGATAATGGTGGTTTAATAGGACTACCGAATTTAAATTTATGCCTTTTGAGGAATAAGTGCTCGTATGCCAGGTAAGATACGCCTAAACACTTATTACACTAAGTATGAGTATGTATAAATTTGTAGAGAATTCACTAGTTTGTCCGTTTGCAAGCATCACTAACTAAAGCATAACATTAGCTCAATACACCAAGATTCAATGTTGTGTTTTTGTTAGGTGTTATCTGCAAATCGTTGTGAACGACCGAAATGCTGGAAGGGCGCAGAAGCGCCCCCTCCTATCAACCCTCATGTCGGAACAGGAAGGGGCTCGGGCAGGAGATGGGGGAGCTCTCTTGAGAATAGAGTTTTCTACTATTTGCACTGCGTCTGGTGAAATGTGTTTTTCTATGGAGACCCCAGATGGAACCTTGGTGTTTGTCTGTTGTAGGATTTCTGGCAGTTTCGGAGCTACCTAAGTTTCAAGGCTACACCGCAAAAGCGCCTTTGTCGTTCTTGGCCCTGGATCCCTCAGTGTATTCTAAACTCCTAAACCCTAAAGTAAAATTCCGAATCCTGGGCTCTGTACGCTTGGGGCATTTGGCCTATACCTCAGGGTACTTGAGGGTAACACTTAAGTGACAGGGGAAGCTCAGAAATTCGATGGAAAGAGCTTAAGTTTAGGGTAGAATGTGAAGCACAGCAGAGCTGTTGCTGCATTGAGCGGAAACACAGAGCTGTGTCACTAGGTGGCTTGACTATACAAAAATAGGTTGCTTGAAGACGCCTGTAGGATACCCTTCCAGGTCGTTGCCTTATTAAGTATGCTCTGAGTACAGATGACACAGAATAAGACAAACATGAATGGGCAAGATCAGAAGAGTAGACGGGATAACACTGCTGGGGCCCCGCTGGCGCAGACGACCGGTCTGACAAGGGGCCCCCAAATGAATAATGCGTACCCTTCTGAAGGATGCGTCATTTCAAAGAGGGCGTTGTGTTCTTTTATCATTAAACGGAAAAGCCATTCCTGTGCGTCCACAGATTTGCCTGGAGTGCCGCTTTTCTCGTACGGGGGCCCCCTCTTGTCGCCGTCAAGAGAGACTGACCGACCACTCACGGACTCGACAGGGGTCGCCGCCCTATTATCCTTTAACTGGCACAAGCGCTCAAACAATAATAACGGCTGTCTTCCTAGCCAGCTGGCACAGACTCATTTTCTGCGGAAACCAGGGGCCTACGGTTAGCTGGGGGCCCCTCCGCCGGCATGTGTTGTTCCTAGGCACACCCCGTAGACCCCAGGCTTGCGTCTCTATAACACCTCACCTGCTTTACGCGGATCCTTTAGCTCTTTATCTCGTGCAGCGAGGGTTCCCGTGAGACTGCGAGAAGCCTTAAATACAGCAGAGTGCGCCTGCAAGCCAAGGAAGAAGGAGGTCTCCCCCATGCCCACATTCTCGTAGAGGTTTTGCTCACGATGAAGATCGTCGAATTCCGCTTGGTCCTTCCTTTAACTCCTGAGGTTCGACATAAATCCCTGTACTGGCTAGCGCCTTCTGCATACCTGCAGCTACAACTGCTGTTCTAAATGAGCACTGTGCACATGAGACATCACTCTCATAACACTTGTCCAGCTGAGCCGTAAATGCATGCAGCAGGCCTTACCGGCTGATTCCTACATTCTACAAGGGGCTGGCTGCCTGCTCTAGAGGTCGTTGCGAGGCTCATCACCCCCCAAGTGGACGTTCTCTAGCTGTTTCTCTGCTTCAAAGACGCCGCAAGTGCCAACTGCAGCCGCTTTCTTTTTACGTGGCGAACGAATGCAGCACCAGGGCCGTCTTTGCTTCTGTTCCACCCAGCTGTATCCACTGGAGCTGCTGCGTCTGTTTTTCTTTTGGTGCTGCAGGAGTACCGCCGCTGCCAGATTTTTCTCGTAGCTCTGGCTGCCTTAGAAACGGCGGAAGCCCAAAAGGCGACAGAGGGGCCCCCTAAGGCTCCAATGATTCAAATTCTCGCCTCGGAGGACTATTCCGCAAATGGCGAGCAAGGCCAATACACGCACAAGCGCATTGATCTCGTAGAGTAAGTGGACACTCTTCTGCTTTATCAGAAAAGAGAAGAGTTCTCGGGGGGTAAGGGTCTACTCAGAGGGCACCCTTCACTACTATGGACCCTTGATGGTCTGAGGAAGTTGAAGAGGCGTCAAAAGGAGCCGACGGACAGACTCAAACCGTGTCCAAAAGCCTTCCCATGAGCATCCGTATCTCCTGGCTGCCTCTAATGATCGCTTCATGACTTTTGAAAAGCCCGCAGCCTGCCAGGGGGGAGGGGAGAGGGAAGGCATGCTTTGCATAATTTGTGCAAAACGATACTGATGGTCAGCAGCTTCACGCGGTGTAGCATCATGGAAGACAGCCTTGAGGCCACCCACTTAACAAGGGTGGGGAATCGAGCTTTAAGAGCTTACTTTGCGCGCTTTCTTTGACGGGTGTGCAGAAAACTGCCTGGCTGGATTTTGAAGTTTGTTGATCCCCGCAGCTGCGCCTTTGAAGAAAAATCGTAAGACGGAACTTTAGGGGCTTGGGAGGTTACTTCGAAGATGTGGGAATTTGAGATTACGGTTGTTTACCGATTGAGTGGGTGTGTTCACGCAGCTGGAATGCGTTTCCTCGTCTCCGCACTCAATACGAAGTGAGATGGCAGTGGAGGGCCACTGCAGTGTATAGACACCCCCCTGGACGAGAGCCTGTTTGGCGTCAGCGCTTTTTTGATTCTGCGCTCCTTGAAGGCAGTGGGATATAGGGGTTTTTGCTTGCTGCGCTTTAGTCGGCGAAGTTCTCAAAGGCGAAAGTCTCTATCACAAGCAACCACGTCTCAGGTGTCTGCACGGATGACAACGTAAGCCTGAGAGAGAGAGAGAGTGGCTGCGCTGCTGCCGCTGCTGCTGCTGCTTAAGTTGCTGGCGCTGTAGCGGGGGTTGGCTCTCCTTTTCGCTTGTCAACGGTCTGCGTTCTAAAGGTTAGGATTTTCCCCACACACCCCTCTTGGTAGTTTCACTACGCAACTGCCCGTAGAACGTGTCTGCTCTGCGTAGCACCTCACAGCGGATCCCCTGAAAAAAATTCCCTGTAGGGCACTTCATCCCTTTTTGGTTCTTCTGACCTCCACGAGGGGCCACCCCCACATTGCGGCCTCCTCATTTTGTTTTACCTTTCCTACAGGCGACGGATCTGCCTCCAGAAAAGCTTCGGCAGCGGAAAATTGATCTAATCGACATTGTGAACGATGGATCCGTAAGCAGGCGTTCCTTGCAGGACCCTTTTTCGTTGTTTTATTTCCTCTAGTCATCTCCCTCTTTATCTATCTCTCTTTATATATATATATATCTTTCTCCTTATCTCTCTCATTATCTCTCTCCCTTTATCTCTCTCTCTCTCTCTCGATATATAAGCATATTCCTCTCTATCGCTCTCCCAATCTGTAGCTCTACCTGTCGATCTCTCTGTCGAGCTCTTCTTTGCATATCGTCTTGGGCGTTGAAAGGATGAAGATTCCTTCGTATTTGTTGGCTGTGGGCTGGAGTCGCTCACTTGTGACGCGGCTTCTGCGCCTTTGAGGGGCCCCGTGCATTCGGCAGTATCCGGACGCCCTCAGTCCTCTTTCGGCATTCCCCGCGCAAATAATTATTTTCTCTTTCTCCATGCTGCATCGCCTCCAATTACAGGCTGGAGGTGTCGACGATCTGCGCAACTGGAAGTCGGAGAAGGCCAACTTTGGGCCCCTTTTATCCGATTGGATCAAAAACGTCCCTTTAGTGCCTTCTACACCCCAGAGGGCCCCCCGGAGGAGGCTTCGGGGAGGAGCTGTTCTTAGGAAACGTTCCTCCAGCACTTTGCGCGAAGCCTTTGCCTCCCACCCTCCTGAGGATAGACGTGGAAGTGAGGCTGGAGAGGTGTCTCTCGGAGGATGCCCTGAGGCTGCTTTTGGAGGCTCCCCAGACGCGCTGGCTGCTCCTAAGCCTCCCGACGGCGATGATAAAAGACCCTCTGATCAAGGGGCCCCCTCGTCTTCGGGGCCTCCCCAGGAAACCTCAGCCACGCTAGTACCAGCATACCCTCTGATGACTTGCTACAAGTGCTTCGAGATCGACTTCCCTTACTTCGGCATCCTGTCTGGGCGTATCGAAGCCTGGGTAGTCTCATCTATGCGAGAACAACTGATGCACTACCACAGGAGAGCCATTGCTTCCATTGATAGATGGTATGCTCCAGACAAATGACGCAAAAACACACACACATACAATTACATGCACACACACAGATACGTACATGCACATGCGTGCATATGCACACAACATGTACATGTACATATATATACATGTAGATACATACATATATATACATATACATATACACACATACATATACATGCATAGATATATTCATATACATGTATACATACACACATATACATGCACGCAAACCTACACATAAACATACATAAATACACACGTACACATTCATACATATACATATACATATACATATACATATATATATGTATCCGCGTACATTCCAAAACTCCCTCTTTGAGAGACTGTACAGACTGGGGAGGTTTGCCCTCTCAGGCCGTCAGACGCACAGACGCGGCACCAGGTTGCTGTTGCAAGGGGTTCTTTCGCGTGCAAGTTTGTTGCATGCGCTTTTTAGGTATGACCTGTCTCTTGAGGAAGTTCGCCAGTTCGAGGAGGATGTCAGGCAGCAGCTAGCGGTTCTTGCTGCCCTGTCTCGCACTGCCGAAGAGGCCCCCAGAGAAGGAGTATCGGAGAGGCCTTTAGAAAGGGGGGAGGAGGCTGAGGGGGAGCCTCTGATGGAAGCGGAAGAGACAACGACGGAAGGCACGGTCGAGTATTCAGACTCAGACATTGACAAAGCATCCGGAGAGGGGGGCCCTAGGAGGAGGCATGAAGGCAGCGCACAGCAACGGCGTGAGAGGCCTCCAAAGGAGCTCTTGAATAATGCCGTGGAAGACTGGAGGCTGTACAGCGGCGCTCGTCTCCTGCCGCTACAGCTGTCTCCTCAGAGTGTGTCTCTGCTGCAGCGGCTCCAACAGGGTATTCAAGACGATCAGCGGCGGCTGTGGGGCCCCTCCGCCTCCCTGCAACAAGAGCAGCAGCAGCAGCGAGAAGCAGAGGGGGCTTCCTCAAGGCTTCACAGCCTCCCAGAGGCCCCTGCTGACGGCCTAGGCTCTAGTAATCGTCGAGACGGGCAACTGCGTCACGGATATCTGGAAAAGCTTGGTACGTCTGGGTGGGTGTGCGTGCGTGTGTGTGTGCTTAGAGGTCTATAACTAGCCGCTGGCTCTTCGGTTGTCAGGGGTGTGCCTGTACATGTGCTTCTGGGGAAGAGGTCTGATCTCCGATTTTATCTCTCGTTCCCCGTCCTCCCCCGTTCAACCGCCTCTTGGAGCTGTCTTTGTTTAGCCTGGGCTGCTCCTCAGCTGCTCGTCTGCTTCTTCGGTTTTTCTGTGGAGGAACTGCTCCTCGACTTGCGGTTCCTCCACAGCACCTCTGCCCCCAACGATCAACGCCTTTTTGCCGCTGCTTCTAGCGCAGCAGCATTCTTTTCCTGCTTGCACTGCTTGTGCTGTGGCTGCAGGCGATGGCCTTTGGAGCAGCCGCTGGAATCCGCGATACTTTTTGCTGCGGGGCAGCTGCTTGCAGTATTTTGACGATCCTAGGGATGCCAGAGCGAAGCAGGCTATTCAACTCACTGGTGCCAAGGTACACTCTGCGGCTGTGCATGTAGTGGTTGATGTACTGTGTTGAAACCGTCTGTGTTACGCGTGTGTACTAAGCCTGGCCTACTCTTTAATGTGTCTGCTACCGTTCTTGCAGTTGCGTGTGTGTGTGTGTGTGTGTGTGTGTGTGTGTGTGTGTGTGTGTGTGTATGGGTGTGTATGGTTTGTGCATGTTTGTGTGTATGTGTACTTGTGTACATGTGTGTATGTATTTGTATGCGTGTGTATGGTTTGTGCATATATGTGTATGGATGTGTACAGTTGCGCGTATGTGTACTTGCGTACATGTATGTGTGTGTATATCTGTGTGTATGTATGAGTACTTGTGTACATGTGTGTAAGTGTGTGTACTTGTGTACATGTATGTATGTGTATATCTGTGTGTATGTATGTGCACTTGTGTACATGTATGCATGTGTGTACCTGTGTATATATGTGTGTATGTAAAATTACTTGTGTACATGTGTGTGTATGTATGAGTACTTGTTTACATGTACGTATGTATGTGTATATATGTGTACTTTTGTATGTGTACTTGTGTACATGTGTGTATATTGTGTATGTGTATGTGTACGGCGTCTCTGCTGTACTTGATGCGCCTGCTGCCTATCGTGGGAGCTTGTGGATAGAGAAGGCGTTTTTTCCCCTGATAGGAAGTCTGGGGTGTAGTCGTCTAGGGTGTCTGTCTTCAGGTGGGATGGGCTACAGACGTTACTGAGAGACCCTTTGCTTTTTACGTGGAAATCCCCAACAAGAGGCGGCTGGTTCTTAGGTGAGCTGTGGCCTCTACGGGGAGTGCTGGCAAGTACTTGTGTGTGACAGAACGGCGGCTGTCGTAGGGTATTCTGAAACTCCACAATTTGAGGCTTTTGAGGGTTCTAGACGCCATACAACGGCCCACATGACCCTTGCTTCGCTACGCTCCACGGCGCAGAGGCTAGGAGATTAGGAGATTAAGAGGCTAGGAGGTTAAGAGGCTAGAAGGCTAGGAGATTAGGAGATTAAGAGGCTAGGAGGTTAAGAGGCTAGAAGGCTAGGAGGTTAAGAGGCTAGGAGGCTTGCTTTAGACTTGCAATGGTGTGTGTGTCTCAGCGGAAGGCATGAGGAGATCTCTCTAGCCTGGCTCCTTGAGATTCAGCGTGCTGCAGCAGGTACGGGAGCGGTTAGTGGTAGAAGAAGCCGTAGCAGCAGCAGCACGAGGAACGAGCTGTATGCCTTATCGCCGAGACCGTTTTCACGGAAAAATTCTCTTTCGCCGCTTCCAGGGGCCCCCCTAGGCCCCCCTGGACCCGCCCATCACCCGCCAGAAATGCGCATGTTTCGCGCGGATGGAGAAGATCGCTCACACGATGGTTCCTTCAGGGAACCTGAGAGCGCCTCACAGGCACTGCAGAGGGAGATCCCCTCCTTACCCGACTCTGAAGCTTCGCGGACTAACGCTGGCGCTGCTCTAGAAGCCTCGCATCCCCACAGGTATGCATGCACAAAAGGCCACCCCCCTACCCCCCGCCTCTCGCTCTTCTACTGTGCTGCTCTCCCTTGCAGCTCTATTCGTGTAGCATAGCCGCTGCAATGACACCTCAGCACCCGTCATTCTGTTCGCGCTCGCATACAGCAGGCAGCCTTCGGGAGCTCCCGCTCAGACGCCTCGGCTTCCCCTGTCGACGTTGCTGCTGCTTTTGTTCGTGCAGCAGTTTGAGTAATCGGCAGTGCCCCGATAAAGAGGTCCGCAGGGAGGTAAGCGTTTCCGTGGTCTCTCTGTTCGATTAAAGGCTTTTTCTTGGAGGGCGCATGCGCAGACGCTGCTCCTCCTGAGCGGTCTACGTGTGAGCAGCCCTTCGCTTTTAGGGGAAGGGGAGGTGAACGGGGGGGAGAGGAGAGGAGGGGAAAGAAAGGGAGGGGAAGGCTGTAGGAAGGCGGGTCATGAAGAAGGGCGAGCGACTGTGGGGCCTCACATATCTGCAAGGCTGACGAGTCCGCATGTGTGTGGTTCCGCTCGGTGACTGGTAGCACCAAGAGGCTGCGAAGTTTCAAGACAGCCTGTCGCTCGTGAAGGTGCGTTCGGCTTTGCCTTGCTGAGCATGCGATTCGTTTTTTGCTGGCTGTTGCTGTGGCTGTTGTGGTTGTGGCTAGTGTGGTTGTGGCTGTTGTGGTTGTGGCTGTTGTGGTTGTGGCTAGTGTGGTTGTGGCTAGTGTGGTTGTGGCTGGTGTGGTTGTGGCTGGTGTGGTTGTGGCTAGTGTGGTTGTTGCTGCCTCTGGGGGCTTGGAGAAGTCAGTCTGTTGCGGTGTACGTTGCAAGGCCGTCTGCTGCTGCAGGGGCCTTTAAAAGAAGTACTCCGCGCACTCACGCAGCGTTGCCCTCGAAAACGGTGCTTCGTGGCAGGAGACGGTGTTGGAGGATTTGCGCATATGGCGTTTTTGGAGCCTTACATTCACGTCGAGGGGCCACTTGGGCGTTCGCGTAGCCTGCAGGCTGGGAGGGCTTCTCCTGACGCCGTCCTCGGGGAGCCAGAAGGAAGCAGAGCTGCGCCTTCGCTTGCTGCTGAAGGTGGGGGTGGGGTGCAGTTGGCTTCTTGGACTGCGTGATGAGATCCGGTGTGGCGTTTGTAGCGCAAGCCTGAGAGAAGCTGCGAAAAAACAATACTACCAGCACGATTGGGAATTTTTTTTCATCAGGCTTACGTCTTTTTCTTGGTTCTTGGTGCGTTCCGTGTGCCTCTGCAGCTTTGGCCGTGGGGGCCCTCCTTGTTTGCCTCTTTCTTCTGATGCTCGCAGCGACTGCGGCTGCTGCCTGTTGCTGTAGCAGCCTTTTGTCGCTCGTTTTTCTCGTGGCTGCGGGGTCTTTGGTGCCTCTCCGGCTTGTTTGCTCCTTGAGCCGTTTCCTCGCCGTGTTAGGAGGAGGGGAGGACCTCGTGGAGTCTCCCCGGGAAGTGTCTTCGTGGCGTCCTCCGTGGTATTCTGAGCTTCTTCTGGCGCTCCTAGAAGGCGTTCGAGGAGTAGCAGCAGCGGCTGCAACGTTGCTGCTGCTGCTTGCATCCTTCTGGATCATACGTCGAATGGTCGTCCGAGATAGGCACGCTTCGGAAAAGAAGTCTCCGGAGGGCCCACCTGCCCTGAAGGCTGCTTGTCTGGCGAAAGGATCTCCCGGCTCTCTCCTGCTCTCTGCCATCCCGTCGGATGCAGTTCGTAAGCTTGGCTTCCTGCCGGATGTTTAGAGGGGGAAGAAGGGAGGAAACGGGGGTGGGTGGTGTGTGGGGTCGTGCATGCGGGCTTCAAATGCTAGAGCCACTACGACGACGACTTGCGGACAGCCCTTTCCGCTTCCTTGCAGGGGTGTGTCGCATTTTGTGTGGCGTGTGTGAACGGGCCCTGCAGCGTCCTTCTCAGCAGAGGGGGGGCCCCCCGATCCTTCCCTTTTAGCGGTGGGGGGCCCTTTCCTCATGGAATGCACGACCAAGTTGTGGCCCGTCGAGCTTCTCCTTAGCGAGCCTCAGGCAATACCGCTGCTGTGCTATGGGGCCCTCCGTCGCTGTGCTCCCCGTCTCCTCGCTGTTGGTGAGAATCTCCTCAAGAGGCTGCTGCCTTTCGAGCAGCGAGACCAGCAGCATCAGCAAAAACACCGCCATCAGCAGCAGTACCACCACCCCAAACACGCCACCAAGTGCAGCAAGTGGGGCACACTCAGGCGCGCGTCAGAAAAAGCTCTACAGCTTATAAAACTCATTGGCTCGTTGAGTGCTGCGTTCTTGGGGGGGGCTTTCGGAATCCTCATATTAGCGGCCACGAGACTCTTGGGGGTGTCTCCAAGGCTGCGGCGAGTCTCGTGGTGTGCTTCTGTTGAGGGGGGAGGCTACCTCTTGCTCTCGCAGCTCTCCCCCTTGCCTGCCCACCCCCCCGAGACTTCTCAAGAAGGCTCTGAGAAAGGCCCTCTGACGGCTGCTCTAGGGGCCCAGGTATGGGGGTGGGCCTGCACAGCACTCCAGTTTGTACTTGAGATGTTTGGGGAGCCGTCTCCGTGGGAAGCCTCCACCGATGCGGTGGGCGGTTACGAGGCTTTTCTCTTCACCCCTGTGCCGCTGTCTCCCGGGCGCGCCGTGCCTCTGGAGCTTGATCGGCTGCAAGAGCTGCAGCAGCAGCAGCGTTGCTCTCTGGCTTCGCTCCGGTTTGTGGGGGCCCCCGATCGCGTGCGGAAAGCGGGCCGCTGTATGGACACTCCACGCCCCCCGCGTGCCAGCTCCAGCTTCGAGGGGGCCCCCAGCAGCAGCGACGACTTAGGCCCTTTTGCAGGCGGATTGGACGCAGGATGTCTCGAGGAGCTTTCAGCAGATCCCCCTGTGTGGCCAACTCAGGTAGAGAGGGGGCCCTGCTTGGTGACATGGATAGGGGCCCTTCGATGGGGGCCCCCCGGCACTCCGGTGTGGCTGGAGGCCCTCCTGACCATCAGGAGAGCGGAAACCATTCTTGGCACTCTTCTCTCTCAAAACGACGCCCTTAGGGGCCTCCACGCGGGAGTACCCAGTCCGGAGGCTGGCACCAGGAGACCCCAAACGGTAATTAAGGCGCAGGTGCGGCCTTCTCCACATAACTCCCGGTCCTACACCCCCAACGCACAAAGCTTTATGGCATCGCAAAATTAGTCCTCTTTCTGTTCACAGTTTCGGTGTATATGTGTATGTGTATATGTGAGAGAGAGAGAGAGAGAGAGAGAGAGAGAGAGAGAGAGAGAGAGAGAGAGAGAGAGAGAGAGAGAGAGAGAGAGAGCGGGAGAGCACACGTCAGAACCACATTCACAAGAGGATCTCGTATGCTACCGTCTGATAGAAAAAAACACTGCGTCTATACGTATGTCTTCGCTAAGTCCAATATGACAAAAGAAGATAACCACCACGAGAGCCC